TCAGTCTTCTATAGCTAATTCTACAAGGCTGACACATTAGAAATTAATGACCAAAATAGCATATGCCAGAGAAATATAACAGGTGGGAATGGGGGGGGGGGAGTGCAGCCATTGGCTAGAGTAGTTTGCTGCATGGGGAAAAACAAGTTAAAGGCACTCAGCCAGCGCACCTATAGACAGTTGGGTCTTTTGGCCAGGACTCAGCCAGATACTAGAATGGCAGCCATTTGGTTGCTGTTGCTGCAGCCACTGATAGGTTGCTACATTGCTCTCCCAGCCCCTCCTTTTAGGCACATGGTGGGGGTTTGCCCAAGGCTTTCTGGACTGCATGGGCTGGATGTTTCCCATCCCTGTTGTAGAACTGGGAAAAATATGGACCTTTATACAGGGAAGCCTTGGCAGGGCTGGATCCCAGTTTGAAGAGATCCTTGGCAAGCTGAAACCATTTCAGTAACTGGTCCTTTTAAGGGACTGGAGCCACATCAATTGTCCAAAGATGCCAGGTGCTGATGTCAGACCTGACATGAGCTCTAATAGCTCATTTTTTAAAACATGAGTTTCAAAAATCAGGATGTATCTAAGAACAAACTAACCAGACAAAGTATTGTTTCTTTACATGAAATTTGAGTGAATCTGTTTCAATGAATGCATATGTACTCCTTTATATTTTATGTATAGCAAAATACACTGCTATTCCTGGGGACAGTTATGCATAGACTTCAAAGGCCGCCTAGATATTTATTTATTTATTTATTAAAACATTTTTATGCCGCCCCATTCGCCGAAGCCTCGGGGTGGCTTACAACAATCTATGAATGTATTCATTTGTATATCAGGCCTAATAATATATATGGTGGTTACAGGAATGTAAAAGAAGCTAAAAGACAGCAAGGCCTTTAGTGTGGTAGGGGAAACCCATATTACAAGCTTGTTCCAGGCTAAGGGAAAATTATACTTGGGCATTGAAATGACCACTTGCACAAGCTTTTGGAGGGAGGAAGTATGTTTTGTATTGATCTTTCCATAACAAGAGGCTTGCAGTAATTTCAGTTTTCCTTGGAACTTCAGGGTGATACCAAATATACAGGACATTCTAGCTGAAGAGTTCAATACTCAGAACATCTATTAGAATGCTATAATGGGAACCAACCAACGATTCTAGCAGGAATACTCAGGCTTATGCATTGTCATTTGGAAAAAGAGTTATACACTTTGACATAACAGTTATTGCTTACAAAGAGGATGCCAGTTTTTGACTTTTCTCTTCTTCATGGTTGATGTACATTGTCTTAAGTCCCTTAAAGCACTGTCATTCTTGCTTCAATACAGAATTCAAACCAAGAATCAATACAAAGATTTAAAATAGTTTAATACTTGTGGAAGATGCAAATGCAACAGGGCGTCATGGAGCACAGCATCTACATGGCAGGTTCGTATAGAATCCAAGTGAGAAGCTCAGAACAATTTCTACAATTGTGATATTTCTTTTTAATTTGATTTTTTAAATGTTTTGCTAACAATTCATTTTATCTCAACAAAGGGGCTAGGTGCTAAACATTAAAATGAGTGTTTCCAGACCACAGATCTGAAATAATCTCCAATGAACTTCCAGTACCATCCACTTTAGCTATTTTCTCCACTGTCAAAAGAGCACTAGGGGTACTCTTCATAATACTGGCCTGCTGGCTCAGGCTGATAAAGTTGCAACCCAAAACATCTGGTGGGCATGAGTTTGTCTATGCTTGGCTCAAGACCACGGTAAGTGAATATTGTATCCCCATAATTTTCCAGGACCAGAGCTTGATGCGATTCCAGTGGTTATACATTTTGTATCATAGGCTTCATGGAATAACAGAACTGGAGGTTTGGTGCACCATAACAATCCCCATATTACAGTATACTGCGAAGTAACTTAAATTTACAGTAGTCATATGTGCAATATACAAACTTAGAGCATTACTTTTTATATTTTATATATATATATATATATTTATATATTGTATTTTACAAAATGTTACAGTATCCCCCCACCCACACACCCCACCTCAAGGCATTGCATTTTGTTGTTTTTATCCATTTCTACACTGTCAAGTAAGCCTGGCTAGAATGCAAAAATACATGTTAAACAAACAAACAAATATATACAAAACAAACATGGTTTTAATAAAAAGCCAAAAAGCATAAACCTTTGGTCTTAAGACCATCTTTTTTGTTTTATATATATATATATATAAATTATTTGTGTGCAAGTAAAAAAAAGTTTGGTTTGTCATGGCATGCTCTTTCAACAAGCTTCAGCAGTGTCCTAATTTCAGGAAGCAGGTGACAGGAGAATAATTTAACATTCGGAACAAAGGGGAAAAGAAACCCAACAATATTCCTTCCTTGTGCATTTGGCAGTTGTGCTCTCAAGTAGTGAATGTTAGCTAAAGCTTTAATGGCAAGTTTGCATTGTGGGGGTGAGGGGAGCATCCCAAGTGTGCACATTTGTACTTAAAGAAAGTGTACAAAATCCCAACACAGGCAAAAATCCATGGCAGTGCAGATTTGTGTGTGTGCGCGCACTAGAAGGTTTCAGCCACTGTAGAATCAGGAGTGTGATAAGAGGGTTCTCCGTTAGGCTGCTTGAATGCAGGAAGTCAGGTGGAACCTATAAGAAATATGGAAGGAATCTGAGCACTCTGTAGACTGACATGAACATTCACTTTGATCATATAGTTAAATAACTGAATGTATTTCCAGTCTACCAGCTTATTGCCACATTTAATTTGCTCTCATAAAAGCAGCAAACACCACAACTATGATCCAGCCCAGACAGATGAACAGACAGATGCAGGAGGATAGAAAGCTGGCAAGCAAAAGGCAGCTAGGAGATGATGAGGAAGAGGATATTGACTTGTCCACCTAATTCTTTCTCTTCCCTAGATTGCTCATCTCTTGCTGCTGACCAGCAGTGCCCCACGGTGAGCTCCTTCTTTCAGTGTAACTAGCAAGCCAAAGTCTGCTGAACAGGCTATTTGTGTGGGGGCTCCAGCTGCTTAATGCAGCCTGGAGGAAGCTGCCTTTGTACTGCACCAGAGCACGGTTCCCATTAGCCCATTGTCAGTGACACGGACTGGCAGTAGCTCTGCAGGGTTTCAGGAATGATTTCTTTCCTAGCCCTGCCTGAAGGTGCTGGGGATTGACCTAGGGACCTTCTGTCTGCCTGTCTACCGCTGAGCTATGGCTACATAATTTGCACAATTGATATATGTGATTTGGGTATGAACAGGGAGACTGGATGGAGCTTACTTTCAGCTAAGCTCCAATAGAGCTTACTCCACAAGACAGTGGCCCCACACTTAATAGACTGTAAGCTCCGTTTAACATAGTAGGACTTCATTTTAAGCAACATGCATAGACTTGCACAATACAGTTACTTAGAGGAACATGGACATCTGCCTTACACTGAATCAGGCCTTTGGTTCATCTAGGCCGGTACTGTTGACACTGATAGGCAGCAGCTCTCCAGTGTTTGGGGCAAGAATTTTCCAGCTCTACTTGGAGATGCTGGGGATGGAACTCAGGATTTTTTGCATGCAAAACTTGTGCTCTGCCTGTCAGTCACAGCCATACCCCAGGTGAGGACCTCATTGTGCACCATTGCTGTGTGGCAAAGAAGAAGGGGAAACAGTCTGACCTCACCTCTTCCCTCTTTTCTTGGCTACTAGTTACAATAGCTGTATACTGCCTCCAGGATTGGCAGCAGCCTGCCTCTCAAGAACAGTGGCTGGGGAATGAGAGTGGAAGGGGCAATTCCCTCATGTCCCACCATATTTTTTCATCTAGAACTTCCATAATACTAGAAGTCGGGCTCATCCCATGAAGCTGAATGCTGAGAGATTCAGGATAGAAAAAAAGGAGGTGCTTCTTTACACAGTGCATAAGTTAAATTATGGAATTTACCACCGCAAGATGGAGTGAAGGCCACCAACTTGCATGGCTTTAAAAGGGGGATTAGACAGATTCATGGAGGATAAGGCTGGCTACTAGACTGGGTGGCTATATATTATTTCCAGTCCTGCAGGAGCTATAACTCTGTGTGTCAAGTGTGGGAGAACATGAGTGGGAAGTAGCTCCCACATCATAGCCTGCTTATGGGGTGCCTGGAGGCAGCAGGTTGGCCATTGTGTGAACAGAATACTTCACCAGATATATGCATTTAGTTTGATCCAGTGGGGTTCTTCTGGCATTTTTATGTGCATGGCAAGGTACCCATGGTGGAAGGCATTATGACATGTCACTCCACCCGGGTGAAGCAACACCAAGTCCATCTAAGCGAGCACAGCCATTTGAAAGTGTGACAGGTAACTATTTGTCACCACAAATAGCTGAATCACCACCTAACTGAATATACAATATTGGGCCATATGAAAAAATAATCCATCCGATATAAGGCATGGTCCTAACAGGGAACTGGATCCAGATTGGGTTATTCTTACAGTAGACCCACTGAAATCAATGGGAGTTAATATTTAGTTATAATTGAAGTCCCAGTGGCTAAGTCTGGATCCAACTCAATGATATTACCAGATCTTTAGAGCTCAGCCTTCTCAAGCTCATGCCAGCCAGATGATTTGGACTGCAGCTGCCAGCATTCCAGACCATGGGGCACGTCAACTGGGAGATTCTGGAAGTTGTAGTCCAGTACATCTGGAAGTCTGCAATAAGCTAGAGATGTAGCTGTAACGGCTTGTGGCGCTGCATAGAAATGGCTGCACTGGGGCTTCTTCAGCTGCTGATCCTGACTTTAAAAGGCTGGGACTGGAACCTGAAACAATACTTGGAAGAGCAGCGGGAAGGGGAAAAGCAGGAAAACCCTGGGGGAAGATTTTCTGTCACTGCAGAAGTGGAGGTGGGGGGAAGCGTCCATACCCAGAACAGCCCTTTGCAAAGTTGGGGTGTATACCTTATGCATTTTGGAGCAGCCTTTTGTTGATCCTTACCTTGGTTAAGAAAATCTAACTGGTTGGACCTTTAAAGACAAAGCCATTCTTTGGGCACTGACCTGGCCGACTCATCTGTGTGTACAGATCCATTCTCTGCTGCATACTATATGAAAGCACAATTAAACCCATGGTCAAAAGGGGAACAGTTGTTAACATGACGTTTTGTTCAAGATGTCAATATTCCACAAAGTTTTGGAAGAGCTTCGAATGAGTGACTGGGTTTTATATGGTGAACAACATCCAGTCTGCACCTGATGCTCCCTAGCTGCTTTGGATTACACCTTCCATCATTCCTATTCATCAGCTGTGCTACCTGGGGCTGATGGGAGCTGTAGTACACATCTGGAGGGTATCATGTTGGGAGAGAGTGATTTATATTAAGTACAAATCACATTTTAGAGAGCCCTTCCACCAACCATCACATCATTGCCATACAAGGCACATTAATATTTGGTTGCACATCCTGTGAGCTTGAACAACTCATACCTCTTAATCATGATGCTTGCAGAAGGGACTGATTTGTCACGGTGCTTTCCCAGAAAGGCTTGTGTCAGTGGAGTCAGGCTTGCTACTCCTGGGCAGCCCTTGAGTGAACAATTTTATAGCAGGGAAGGAGAACCTCCAGCCTGGAAGCCTTACAGGGTCCCCATCCAGCCCACCAACCTCCCTGCCTTAGTTTCCTCCTCTCCCTGGCTGTGCTGCATGAAGCTTTTTAGAAACCTTCCTGGGTAGTGCTGGAGACTATATAAAAGCCTACTTGCAGTGAGGGCATTTGGAGGAGGGGGAAATAGCCCTCCCTCCAACACTGTAAAATCATTGACAAACCACCTTTCCCTTGCAACAATCAGGGTTTTAAAATCTGATTTTAAAATTGCAGTAGGGAATAGTTAACATTTGAATGTGTATGAAAGAGGAATCATTCTTTAGGATAACCTCACCCACTGAGCATGTGGCCACAGGCAGACCTGCCCAGAACTCATTCAGCTGAAAAAGAGAATTACTGAGCTGCTTTCCTGAGTTTACAGTTACAACCCAATGCCAGGCAGTTCAGAAAATCCACCTGTTTCATCAGAAAAGTGAAGATCCCTGGAATCTCAGTCCATCAGGGTGCTGGCATCCTTTCCAAGGACTTGGGCATTGGCTAGCAAATTGATGCCTTCTCACCTCACCTTGCCTTATATTTTATTTACATTTATTCCTTCATTTAAAATGACTTTTAGTCTGTCTTTAAGGGTGAAACTCTCACAAGGTAGCATAAAAGATAAAAACTGCAGAACATGGATACAATAAAAATCAATGAGCATATAAATCAGTTTTAAAACCCCATAAAACAGATCATCAGTGCAAGTTAATATATTTTAAAGGTATGTTAATAAATTGTAACTATTCTGGCTGTATTAAGCATCATCATCTTCCCTTATGGTTAAGTCCTGGAGCAGCCACTGCATAGACTTCTCCTGTTCTTTGTCCAGCTCCTCTTCCCCATAATCCTTCTTGCCTAAAACTTGCTTCCCAATGGCCTTTTCCTGCAGCCTGCTCACCATTTTGTAGAATTCATTCCCTCTCTCCTTGCCAGCTGCCAGCAAGTCCCCTGAATGAAATCAGCTTCAACCAGAGCCAAACCAGCAAGACAAATGGGATTGCGCAGGGCATTCACCATAGTGACAAATGGCCAGGACTAAATTGGTTGCCATCATAAAACTGTCTATCTGTGTGAGACTTGCCCTGCTGTGGGGCCCCCAAAGCCTGCGTACTGACTGCAATCACTCACTGTAGTACACCATTTCTCACTAACTCTCAACCCTTTCGGGCTGATGGACACATTCGGAATCTTGAGGAAGTGTTGTGCATGCTCTCACAAAATGGCTGTCAGGAGGCTTGGCCATTCATAAAATGGCTGCCATGATGAGGAAAACTGATTACAGAACACCTTTCTCCCAGAAGACAAACCAGTGCAGCTGAAAGAAAAATAAGTTACCCAAGAACTTAAGTACAAGGCAAATGTGAGGGTCTTTTGAGCCAAAATAAAGGTACCACTGGAGGCAACATTTCATTTGGCAGCACTGCCAGCCTCCCAGTTAAAATTTTTAATCACAAAACATCTTAATAAGAATCAGCAGGGACAGGGATCCAGGTGTGTACCAAGAACAGTATCTGTGGGCACATTGGTTCCCACAGGTTCCATGTGGGAGGCTCTGGAAGAAGAGTTACTGTTTTGCTACTTCATTATATCTGTAGAGCAAGCCAGAGTGACTGGCCATCCTGAAAGGAAAACTCAAGGGGCTTCCTTGCTTGCTTCAAAGGGCAGCTCCTCTGCACAAAGGACTGTTCCCTGAGAGAGGCTGGCTTTGATCCCAACTTCCCTTACACTAAAGAGTTCAGGGAACAGGGCTTTCCTATATACTCTATTCCCTCAGGAACTCCCTGAAAACCTACTCCTGAGGACTGGGGGTGGTGGGGGTTACAGTGTAGAAGACTGACAGGAGAGGAGGCAGTTGCCAGGAGCAGACCCCTTGCACAAACAGGAAAGTAGCCTTGGATCCAAATCAGTTTTTTATTTTTGGGAGATGCCCTTTCCAATGTGTAAAACATGACATATTTTACACACTAAATGTATGGAATACAAGCCAACCTCACCTCCTACCTCAACACACCCATATGCTCTGCAAGGGATCTTGACCAGTTAAGCAAGAGGTTGTTTTCCCGATGCTTAACCATTCCCAGCAGTTAGCATTTTGTGAATGAATTCTTCCTACCCACTTAAAAATTGTTTTGCTTTATTTACCTAGGGTAATATGCTGCGTAATTCATGAAGAGCTGAGTGCCAGCTGGGTAGTACCCAGTGGAAGGCTGAAGTGTCCGTGGATTGAGGAGCACAGAAGGTTGGTAGAGCGCAGCTTCAGTTGGGATTACTGCTGTGGGAGCCGGAAATGAGTATGAAGGTGGAGAAATGCCTAAAATAGGGGGAGAAGCCAAGACAACCTAGATGGAGAGCTTCAACATTTCAATACAATCTTGATAAAGCAAGACATAGGATTATTAAAGACAAATCTACTGGTCAAAATGTCACTACACATAAATTGATTTCTTTACCACCACCCATTCCTAATCAGGAAAAAAGCATATTGCAACCGTCTCTTGCTCTCATCTTCCCAGGGGAAGCTTCTCTGGTTGACACACATGAGGTCATAAAGGACCTCCTTCCCGTTGATCAAAATGGCAAAAAGTTGAATTGAGTCCGGCTCTTTGTCAGAAGGAGGCATCCAGATCAAAACAAACAATTGCATTTTGTAATTAATATAAAGATTCACAGGGATCATGATTTCAGGGTTCGATTCTTTTTACTCTCCTGAGTATCCATGTTCCTTAATTGACCAGATTTTCCCTTGCTAGTCTGCTGAAAGTAACCAGGAAGCTCATATGTGGGCCTTTCCAAAGTTAAGTGGTTGAGTCCAATGTTAGTCCTAAGACCCATCAAAATGAGAGGGACCTGAGTTAGAACAACACTGGATAGAACAACCTCTATCAACCTGGTCCAGACAGTTAGGACTCAAGCTCCCACAAGGCCTAGCAACATGGCCAAGGATGAGGTAGCCTAGAACTAAAGTCATGTAATAGCTCCCATGCAACTCTAATGCTTTCCTGAAAGATGAGTTTATCAAGCCATATGAGTGCTATGTACAGTGACCTGTAATCCGCCAGTGCTGATTTGGTATACTGCATTTTTCAGGTAGCATGCATGGCTTTTGTGATTCTGTGGCTGTGCAGGTAGCACATGCACTTGTCTGGTATGTTTTTGCAACGTTAATGAAGAGCATACATTGAAACTTTATCTTCATGTCATTTTGCAAATCTGTACATTCCCCATTTTAAATTTTAATATTCTAAATATTTCTTTCTGGGTCCTTGAGTACCTTCCATGGCACTGCTTTTAAGATGATTATACCCAAGTGTTTTCTAAAAGAGTTCACTGAGCATAAAGTCTCCCTCATTCATGCACACCCATTGTGAGAAGCAGAATTTGTCATTTTCTTTCCACTGGTGGCTGCTTCTCACCTGGGTAGGGCTAAACATCTTGTCAGACTGTATTGTTTTAAAGGGGCAATTCCACTGCAGCATGACACACACACCCCTCACCGAGTCTGTTATACACAAGTGAGATTTACTGTGCTATTTTCAGTGAACAAACCAACCAACCTGGAGGACTGGAGGGGTATTTTAAAATGTAGTTAGGGCGTTTCATACCTTATCATAGGGCAGTGAGCCTCAGGAGCTGCATGCAGTTCTTTGAGTTCATTTTGTGGTTCATGGCTCACCACCCATGCCTGTCCACGTGCTGCTTACCACACACAGCCACCACCTACAGGTGCCTGCTTGCTGCCCACAGTCACCCACTCGCTGCTCGCCACTCAGGGGTACCCACTTGTGGCTCGCAAACCCTGACATTCACCACATGCAGCTCTTCCGTTGAGCAAGTCTGGCCAGCCCTGTCATATAGGTAAGCCTTGGCTGCAAACAAGCATGTACTCAACCAGGAGCTGTAGTAAAGTGCTAAAGCATGAATATATATGAGTAAGTCCTAAACATTTAAAACTTCACACATTTAGGACCTTTGTGCCTTTGTATTTACTTGAATGCCATGCACTTTGATCAACATTTGAGGTTCTACTCTGGATCCCCCTCCTAACTGTGCTTTGGCACATAAGTATAAGGAGCATGGCCTTTTTAATTATGGCACCAGTCTTTCCCCAAGGAAGCCTGCCCAGTATTGTTCTGATACTTTTATTGGTTTATGAAAACATGACGCTTTGTGGAGGGGGGATTTTTTGGGATCCACTGGCTGCTATTTTGTCTACTCTGTCTAGAGGAGAATTCCATTTGATTTGACTGCTTTAGTATTGTTATTTTTACTTTGATGGGGTTTTGTTTCTTCAGCTTATTGTTGTTTTATATTTCATATTCACTTTATTTATTCATTAAATTTATAGCTAACCTTATTTCCTGCAAGGAACAGAAGGTGGTCTACAGAAACCCCCTCTTCTCCATCTTGTCATTCCATCAAGGCTGTAAAACAGTCTGTTATTGCCCACTTAGTTAACTCCAAGTAATATTTAAAGATTTTACTGCAAGCAGCTTTGTGACAGAAAATACTGAACTAGCAACAGAGCTTTTTTGAGGGGTGGAGCACTTTGTGAAATCAAACTGTGTTAAGTAGCATTCAGAAAGGCCACTATCCAGAGAAAAGTCAATGATCTAGCAGGGCTACTTTTAATCCAAGAGTGGGAACCTGCAGCCCTTCAGATAAACATAACTCCAACTTCAGATAAACATAACTCCAACTTCAGTCAACCCAGCCATTACAACTAATAGCCATGGATGGATGAAGTTGCAGCCAACAGTTGAACTATTACCAGGCCCCTACAGTATTTAATCAGATACCAGTATATGAACCAAATACTTTCCTATCTATTAAGCATAAATAGGGGAAAATACTTTCTCCTGGAAGAGCTTTGTAGCCCCTGCTGCTTTGAAGGCATATCTCCATTGTGGCTGCCTTGTCTGATTCCCACAGAACTACATGCCTCCCAGTCCATCAATAAGCTGTTTGGTGGGCTGGTAGCATGTATTTCTGCCAGGATACAAGGTGTGTGCTCACTGCATATCCTATTATCCCAGGCAAGATGGTGGTTCTGCAAAAACAAAAACCAAAGTCAGGAAACATGAAAATCATGTGCATTGTTTCTCCGCAGAATTGCGTTCCCTTTGGCCTGCTGAACACCTGCTTGGAGGGCTGTGGGCAGCACAGTTCTGCCAGGGAGCAGGATACATGATCCTTGCATGCCTCGTTTGCCAATAGAAACAGCGGGAACAGAGCTGCATGGCTGCTTCTGTTCGTGGTGGTGGTGAAGGTGGCAGCTGCAGTGGAGGAGGGTACACCCACCCTTCAAAGGTGCCCGTTAAAAAGCTTGACATGTACAAGTGAACCAGCGTTATTTAGAGGATAAAGATCTACTTCACTAAACCATTAATCTGTCCTAGTACCTCTTCTTCGTTGGGTCTAGGTCTCCTGTATCTTGTCCTGCAGGAATTTGCAGCCAAAACCCTAGCTGCTAGCATCATAGTCAAGACCTTTAGGACTCAAAGCTTCCAGCATACTATTCTATACCTGATATCAGTGTCTTGCTGAAATATTTGATTTTTCCACCTTTTGTTGTGTTACAACCTTGAACTGGAGTGAATGAAATTGGCATTGTTACTAGCTGATGCGCACAAGTACTCAACACTGTAAAGATGCAAAATATTTTTATTGTTTCACAAAAGTTAAGCAAACAAAAACAAACTGGCACTTGTGAGTTGCTCTGGTGTTCACCTCCAAGGCAGTACTTAGTAGAAACAATTTCTTGGTAGCAACTGCAAGTTCAAATCTTCTTGTGTAAGACTCTATCAATTTTGAACATCTCTATCTTGTAAAGCTTGCCCATTCTTGGCGAAAATGCTCCAGTTTTGTCAGGTTGCATGGGGTCCATTGGTGAACAGCGACATTCAAGTCTTTCTGCACATTCTTAATTAGGTTTAGATCTGGGCATTGACTGGGCCATTCAAAGACAGCCAGATTCTTTTTTTAATCACTCCAGTGTTACTTTTTGCATTCAGGATCACTGTCCTCTAGGGAAGGTGAATTTCCATCCCAATCCTAAATCCTTTGCAAACTGAAAGAGGGATTTCTTTACCTTATACTTGTCTCCATTCATCTTGCCTTCAGTTCTAACCATTTTCTAGTCCCTACTAAGGAAAAATATCCTGACAACATGAAGCTGCCACAGCTATGCTTCACCATGGGGTTAGTGCATGTTTCAACATTAGAAATAATTTTTATAAACAACCCTGATTGGTGCTTCTGCTCAACTTTTTCCCGGAGTGGTTTTGATAGCTCTTGGTCTTCATGATGCTGTTTGTCAGTTTGGGTATACTCTCCAACAAAACTTCTGGAGCCCTTTAGAAACGGGTGCATTTAATCAGAGATTGTGCAGCTCTGGAACTACACACAGGTAGATGCCATTCAACCATGGTATTCACAGTTGTTGAGTTCTGGAGGCACTATGTTGCACTAGAGCTTAGCTAGACCTGGCACAGCAAAGGGGATGAATCCTCAAGCAACTAACAAGTGCCAGTTTATGTTTACTAAACTTTTGTGCCACAATAATAATACTTCATACCTCCACAGTGCTGAGCATCTCATGTACACCAAATGGTAACAACGCCAGTTAAATTCATTTCGGTTCCAGGTTGTAACATAACAACATGTGGAAAAGTCAAAGGGGTTTGTGAATGCCTCTGCAAGGCACTGTAATTATGTGCGTGTGCATATAAGTATATGCATGCATATAACAAATGTGCAGCAAGCAGTTCCCAGAAAAGGAGAGGTTAACATGGACTGGGGCGTTTTCTGCACCAACTGCATTCCATCACCGTGTGGGTGGTACCACCCGCGTGCAGCCTGCCTTCCCCAGCCCTGTGCGGGGGAGAGAATATTAATGTGGGCTTCTCATGCATGTCACGTGGTGATCGACTGCACTGAAAGAGATCACCAGAGAGTCACAGAAGCCCTCCACCTCCAAATATTATGCAGGCTACATGGAAGCACTTTGTAACTGGGGCATATGTGCAATAGCATTTGGACTGCTCACTTTCTGAAAGCACTGGAACTGGATTTGAATAAAGGCCCAGCTAAGTGAACATTCTTTTTCCAGCAGTAACAGGTGGATTTTTCCAAAGAAGGCAAAATACACTAGCACTCAGCTTCTTGCCTCCCAGAAGTTTGGGTCCAGTGGCCCACCACATCTGAACTAAAGGATCCATACAACCATCATGGCTTGTTGGGGGCATGCTGGCTGTTACAGACATCTGTCTAAATATGCATAAGATCAAGCCCTTATAGATTTGGTCCCCAGGAATCTGACTGATCTCTTCTTCAAAGCTGCCTTGGAGCCAAAGTGCACATGTAGCTTTGTCTATTTGAATTAAAAGACAGAATTTGGAGCACCGTACTTGGGAAAGAGACACTTAATTTCTCTATCCACACCATGCTACTGCAGAAAGCACATGTTCCATGCATAATACAAAATTCCTCCATTAGCATCAGTGGGGGTCCTTTTACTACTGCTAATTGTGGAGTGGGACTTTGTAAGAGAGAGGTCACAGCTCAAGAGGGAAGAATTAAGACCTTCCCTCATGCCATGTTCCTGATCTGGACAAGTGTTTCTGTTCCTCACATACTCTTCTGAGTAAAATCAAAACAGATCTGCACATTCATGGAGTTTGACCTAAGACATTGGCCACCACCAAATCTTGTGGTAGTGAATTTTCTAGATGAATTCTGCAGAACATATTCCTTTTTGGCAGTCCTAAATCTGCAGCCTCTGTTTCACTGGGTGGTACTGAATTTCTGGGAAAGGGTGAAAAAGGTTTAGATACTTGCATGCATCTTCCCCATGAGCCACTGTAGAGCATGTAAATAGCAGGCAGGACTACAGTGGATTTGATGGCTAACAAGATAGCAATTGGGAATGGGTTTCCCCCTTTCCTCCTTTGCAGCATCAAAGGTTACTTATCAGAGGGTTAATTTAGGGATCAATCCTACTCAGGTTTAGACAGAAAAAAGTATCCCCTTTGGGAAAGCTGCAGACTGTTTCCTGACTAGACTTGCACAAGATTGCCACCTAAATAACGTCTTTGCAATAGCAGTCCTGTTCATGAAATTTCCCCTTTGTGAGCTACTTAGCACAAACATGGACATCTTGCACAGTTATTCTATGGTCAAAATTCTACCCCTGCCCCATCTCTCACCTCATCATACAAATCAGAGCAATAAGTTGTCTTCCTATTCTTATGATAAACCTTATAAAGCTTTTATTTCTATATTCATGGGCCTGCCAATGCCTCAAAGAATACCTTTGCTATTCTAAAATGGGAGTATTCACTAACTGCACAATAATTGTTTCAGGTTGACTACTCTTAAGGATTTAGGTTTGGTCACAACAGAAGTAAGTTTGACCCTCAGGCTGAAAGAAGTTTGGCATTCCTGAAATGTAGCTCAGAGCCTGGTGGACTTTCTTTCATTGCAGATGTTAAAGAACAGGCTGGATGGCTACTTCGGAGACATGCCACAGCAGTTGAATTCCTGCACTGGCATGAGCTTGGGCTTGGTAGTGTTTGAGGTCCCTCCCAGTGCTATGATTCTGAATTGCTTGCTTTAGGGTATAATTCCATGCATGTTTAGAAAGAACATAGGGAAAAAAGGGCTAGTGGTTACACCTTCAATCAGAGTTTAGTTTTGCTTTTCTTCAGTACATAATGGTGGGGTGGGTTACTTTATTTTAATGTGCCAACTGCACAAGAGCCTGGCCAAGATTAGAGACTTCTATCAGGGCAAATCTTCAGTAATGTTGATCAGAGGGAGAAATGTTTGATTATACACAACTTGCAATCAGTGTTAAATCAACACCTTCTTGCTCTCATGCTTTTAGTTGTGACCATTAAAGATACTTGTTCAGTCTGTTATAAGACTGCAACTGAACAGTATCTCCAATGGTGCAAGATGATGGAAGTTGCAGGCCATAACATCTACAAGCCCTAAGCTGCCCACCATCTGGACTGCACAGATGCCACCTAGCTTTGCTGAACCTGCACACCTTTCCTTGGATGAGTTCTTTGGCTAACTAATGTCAAAATACTCATATTTGCTGTTCCACATGCCCACACATCCGTATTTGATCTTAGTTCCTGCTGTAAAACATTTTAAAATCTAATAATGCACCCAACAGCCATCTGTAACAGTAGCTAGGCTACTGAACTGTTATTTAAAATCATCCACACTCACTCTGTGCCATTAAGCCCACAGGAGGGGGAAAGTGTGTGTCAGCGGAAAAGCAAGAACAAAGGAAGCCAGTTCCTTTTCAAATCACAGTAGTCCATAGCCAAAAGGAGAATCCAAAAGTGAAAAAAAAAAATCAAAGTGTGCTACTGATTTCAGGTGAGAAAGCTTTGCATTCCAGACCCCATATGCTGACCCTTTACAAGAGAAAGAACACAAGAGTCAAGAAAAGAAGCTCCGACACCTACCAGCATACAGCATAGAGTAGCGCCAAGACCCAAGCAAAACTTACATGGTAACTTACATGGTGGTGGGGATAAGCCATTTCGATTTAAAGTGCCCCCCATTAATACAAAGTTCATCTCCTCAGCAGAACACTGGAAGACTTCAACATATCTGTCCTTCACCGTTTTCTTATGGCACTTCTGAGCAGCCATAAATGCTCGGTCTGAAGATTTCATTTGGATAAAAGCATCTCCAGAAGGGCGACCCTAAGGACAAAAAGAGAAGAGGAACTGTACCCTTATGAAATATACTTTTGCCCAAAGGGAAAACTGGTAAAATAAATCAGAAACAATTACACCTGTGAGATTACATTTGGTGTGGTTTAAATAACTATGACCTGCATCAAGAAAATGAGATGATACTGAGCCCAGTGCTCCTGTTTGAGATTTTGTGGTAGGGTGGTAAATTTTGAAATGCAAGCACTCATACAAGCAAGATGAGCCATGTCCCTAATGAGAATGCAAACACTCAGGCAGCTGTGTCGATCCATTTCAACAATTCAGTTCTAGCTGTTTTCATCTCCTCTTTTTCTGTAGCTAAAGTGTCCTTATTGACCATTCAAGATGAAGCAACCCCAAAACATTGTGCAATACAAGAACAGTATATTGTTGAAAAAATTAATATCTTTCCAGTTACTGTGAAGACTGCAGCTAAACATGGAAAGAAAAGTGAAGTTTGTGGGGGTGGCAGTGGCAGGAAACAGCAGTGTTCCTGCTAGTACAGAATCGGCAGTGCTGTAGCCCTTTGAACCCTGGTCTCATTACACCATTGCTGAGAGGGGCCACTCATTGATGTTATTCAGGTGCAACACTTGTTGTTGTTGCTAGTCGCAAAGTCATTTCTGACCCATCACGACCCCATGGACAACATTCCTCCAGGCCTTCCTGTCCTCCACCATCCCCCGGAGTCCACCTAAGCTCACACCGACTGCTTCACTAGATGATGTTATAGTGTTATATGACCAAGTCTTATGCACTCCCTGTTTTCCCCAGTGTAGAGATCAAAAGCTCTCACTTTATTTTTTTTAACTAACAGCAGTTTAGCTTTTATCCAAACCATGGTTAGTCTTAACCATGTTTTAGGGGAAAAAGCCAACATTAAAGCACAGTTTACCAAATTGGCATGTTTTGCTAAACTAGGGGTGGGCAACCTGTGGCCCACCAGAAATTTCAGTCCGACTCCCTAGCCAGCATAACCAGTGGTGTAGGATGATGGGAAGTGTAGGCCAACACATTGGGAAGGCCACAAGTTGTCCACCAGTGCCTTAAACCATAGTTAAACCTAAGTCCTTGGCTTGGACAGGACACTTCAGCTATTGCCAATGCTACCCAAATACTTAGGACTTATACCTGCCTTGCAGAATCAAAGTCCAAAGCACATGAAGTGGAACAAAGAACAGGACAGTTCATAAATGCAATTCCCTGCAGTGGATGAGTGAGCATTTTTAATTACATCTTCTCAAAAACTGACAGGAGAGCAAAAATCTAAGCCAATGCCTGGAGAGTTGATAAGCATAATCTACATTCAGTAATCATAACCTAATGATACAGCATAAAGCCATGAGCATTTGCTGGGCTTTGCCTGGGCTTCAGAGGTTCTGAGACCAAGGATTTCTTATCATATATGAAAGCACACCAACTTTAAAATAAATTGGGGAAATTTTAGTGGACAAGAACCTGTAAACAAAAATACAGTAAGTTCACTATAAAAGATGTAAACCTGGGAGGAAATACAGCAGTGCTTCTGAAGGCAACCATAATCAACACGCAAACTTAAGAACTTCATTGCATGTTTTCAGTGGTCAGGGTATACTTTTATCCTATTTAAATTCAAGCACTCCCCTGATACTGGACTAGTTTTATCCCTGCTCACTAGCAACCCATGAAAATGCCCCTCACTCTGTAAATTAAGCTTTTCAAAAGTCCCCATGGGCCCCTATAGAAGCATGTTTAAAGCCTTGCTTGCGGTGTGGGAAGGAGGAGGGAATATTCCTTATCTCCATTTGAGGAAAAGGCCAAAAGCCTGATGGGAACCTCCCACTGGTCATACCTGGTCTGTTAACCAGAAATTGCCAGTCCTTCGTCTGCAAGATAAAGAAGGTTCACAGGCATCAGGTAAATTTCAGATAGGCATCTAGATGAGTTCTCTCACGCCACAATATCACTCCAACTTACAGAGTAGAAGACTGTTTCTCCCATTTTTAAATATGAGTTTTCAATAACAATAACAAATCATACCAACCTTGGACTCATAAAAATGTGTACAATGAGAATCCATTTGAGAGCTACAAGCTGGAACATTTACCAGTGGTGAGGGGGAAGTGTAATAGCTTGATCAGAATTTGTTTTTAAAAGGAAGACAGCCTGTATCAATAAAAAGCCACATAAAATTCCATGTGCTTCCTTAGTTTTGGAAATTAGGTGCAACAAGGGAAAAATATAACCCTGGCAAGAGGGCTAGGAAGATCTTTTCATGAAGACTAAAATTACATTGAGCATCAATTGCTGTTGACATTTTCTGATGCTTTGCAGTGTTGCAGTGTCTACACTGCTGTGAGGCATGGGCTCCACCCAACAGCTCTGCTGTAAATTTTGAGATTTCATTCTAATCCCCAAATTGGTCTATTTGCTCTTGTCAGCACCACATTTTAGACTCTTCCAATTTGAGACCTGATTCATTTCTGTGTGAAGGTCGAATGTATTTAAAGAATCGTTTCCACAGAAACAGCAGCGAAAGCACTACTTGTTTGTTCTGGACAATGAAGGATTCAAATGAAGGCATTTAAAAGCTTCCGACTAAGCCCCTGAGTTTCACTGAAAAGCCATTAGTTTCAACAGCAAAAAAGGAGTAACCTTCTTTTATGTGATGCTAACCAGCAATATCCATGTTGGGCAACTTTTTGACACAATTTTCAGAATTAACATACCTGAAAATTATTTTCAAGAGCATGGCTTAATATAATTCCAATGTACTGTTATGCCATCTTTCTCAAGACACATTTTGGAGTCAAGCTGTTACCCAAGCCACTTTTGCATTAGGAAGCAGTGGTTGGAAAAGGTGTGTCAAGACGGGGCATAGTAAGGCACCTGCTGAGGGCCCACACCCTATCGGGCCCCACTGACAACAGCCCCTTCAATCTGCTCCTGCTCTTCATCACCTCGTGCCCTCGTCTGGACCTGTCACTGTCCACTTACTGGCTTCCTCAATGGCAAATAAGCAGGAGGTGAAATGAGGAGGAAGAAGAGAAGCAACTGCAGCACTGACAATGGTCGGAGTCTCTTAATGTTTGTGTGATGTGTTGTATAGCAATAGGCAAATAGAAATAATAAATGACACTGCTGATAATTGCTATAAAAACACTTGCAGCATCATAGTGAACAGCAAGAGTCCAATACAAGCAGTAGATCCCTAGCCTAGTTCAACTATTACCTCACCTATGAACTCACCATAGCCCCCTTCCCTCATTCACAATGTAGGTAAATACTGACAGAGCCAGCCCTGCCATTAGGTAGTGTGAGAAGGCTGCCTCAGGCGGTGGATGTGAGGCACAAAGTAACAGTGCAGTGTTGGAGAAATGCTGTGTGCGCCACTTGGACGTCCTTGCAATCTCTGTGCTAGTCCGTTGTCCTCAGGCATGGTGGAGAATGTTGTCCTATCACCAGTGTTGAACTAAGATCCAACTGCTGGTCTGTTTGGCTTTCATATGTGGAAGGAAGGGTGCACCTTGTCCTATCTTCTCAGCCATCAAAGTTTCTTGGGACAGTCCCAAATACTTTCCTACAACGGTTAGTGTAAGAACTGGAGATGACATATCCACATTTTAGGGAGCTCTTGAGTAAGATGCCTACCATGAGTCCACTTTCTCTCAGTAGGCCTACCTTGACATGGTCACCACTACTAATTCAATTGCCCTCTGCCTCTGAGCCCCATATTCACCATAGCTCAGAATGAGAGGGCAAGCCAACTCTTTGATGTTGTCATTGCTTGCATGGAATGCTGCTAGGCCCACCAGTCAGAAGATGCTGGGCAACAATCCATTATTTTTCCTTAACGGATTGCCCACAGTTAAGGATTGTAGGAAAACACAGGAGACTCACGACTGAAAAATATAATCCAGCCCTCTTGTAACATTCTGTGAAGAAGGCAGGATGATGGCACTATAAAAGCCTTGCCAGAGAGGACAAGTGAAGCAACAATGCCTGGAGTAATGAATGAGCCCTGTGTTGGGATTTGGGCTTCAGAGAAGGCTCAACAACGTCAACCCATGTGCTGCTCCTGTGTGAAATGCTGGATAGCCTTGTAAGCCAAGTATTTCACAGAAAGAACTTACAAGAAATAGTTTCTGTGCACAAATAACCAAGACTGATTACACTCTCCTTCACCTACCTGGTGATTTAATACCATGTGAACTCCGTGAGTTCGGATATCAGCAGAAAACTCCCCCAGGAATCCCAGTATATCATCTATAGTGGCAGCATAGGGAAGCCCACGCAGTCGTATGCAGTCCCTGGCATTGGTGGGAGGTACAAATGGCTGAGGGAGCACGGGAAGGAGAGGTGGAGTTGGGAGAGGAATGAGAGGAGCAGACGAATACCTGTTTAGTACCTGAAAACAAAACAAAACAATGAGAAAAGTGTTTTGCACACCTACTGGGAGTACAACTCGTGCCATCATTTCATACTTTGTTTAAACCATTATGATCCCCATTTAGCTATAAGCCAACCAAAGCAAACACCAGCCGGGTGCCACTACAGACCTTTTAATCTGAAACAATTAAAGTCATTTACTCGAGTCAGACCCATGACCCATCTGGCTGCAACAGCCTCTGCCAACTAACCCGGATCCCTCAGTGCCAGAAGAGCCACTGGCACTGCTGGCTGGGAACGACAGAACTGCAGTGCAAAGCAGCTGGAGCACTTCAGGTTGGGGAAGGCTGATGTAGACGGAAACCTGGACGTTGTTTCAGGCAAGAGCCCTTTTATGCCCTACTGGAGTTGCCAGGGACCGAGTTTGGAGCTGTTGCATGCAAAGCACATGATCTACCCCTGGGCTACGCCTGTTCCCCAGTTAATCAACTAAATCACGTGGTGAGTGTGTGGGTGAGAGAGACAGAGACAGACAGACACATACTAGAACAGAGTAAGAATCATACTGTTGGAAGAGGCCTAGAAGGTCATCAGGTCATTTCTCTTAGTAGGTGCACCTTGACATGGTCACCACGACTTCTTCAATTGCTTTCTGCCCCGAGCCCCATCTACATGCATCAGTGCAGGACTTGAGTCTCCCAGCCAGAGACTAAATAGGCCCAACCCAGCTTAGCTTATGAGTTTTGGCAGCATCACACACTTCAGGCTATTCCTAATTAATGGAGCAGCTAAAAAAAGCATTTAATATGTATATAAAAACAGCAGGTGGCAAAAATGATCATATGAGATGTTCTGTCTTCTCCTGTAGGCAAGAATGCCCCTAAGATGAGGCCTGCATTATCTAAAAACAGAGAAAACGTGTCTCTTGCTTCAGAACTGTTTCTACCCAAGCAAATATAATCAATTACCTTGTAGAATCAGTCCACTGACACTTCTTCAGTAGCAACACTGGCTTCTTCTACTCCTTTCCCTTAAAGTCAGGGATAGGAAATATCTGGCTTTTCAGACAATTTTGGATTACAGCTCTCATTAGTCCTTGATAACATAGCCGATTGTGAGGGATGATGGAAGTTGCAGTCCAACAACATCTGGACAGCCACATATTTTCCATCCCTATCTTAGTGGAAGCTGCATTGAGTAGTGCCTGATATGAGACGGAGGGCAAGTTTAGATTTCTGAATTGTGTTTTTGTAATTGCAGCGGCTTAAGGACTAGCTAAAGGAACTATGGCAGTGAGATTGTAGACACACTGAAGCCGGGGCACTGATCATGTCAGCTGCAATGGCCCTCAGAAGCTTATAGCTGACACCAGATCTAGGAAGGAAAGCAGGCCAATATCAAGGTTTGGCGGGCTGGTGCTACTCACCTCGTCCTCCCCTTTGGATGGCCATGCGGATTGGAAGCAGAGGAAGAGATTGTGCTGATGGCCAGTGATGCAAAAGAGATGGGTCTACTCAGGAAAGAGGGCTAATAGGTGGCGTCTTATCCAAGACCCTTCCAAAGATTGGGGCAGACCTACAATTTGGCAGAATCGGGTTGTTGCATCAGAGTGCCCAAGCTGGGGACCATCACTACATTTCTGGAAGTAAATTCCATAGTCTTGCTATGCAAATCTGGGTGAAGTACTTCCTTTTATCTGCCCTAAATTCACATCTTACATCATGAGATTAAGTACTGGCCACTCACCTGCTGTACCTCAGCTGCTGTGCTCCGGAAGAGTTCTATGTACCTTTTACCCAATAAGTCCTTGTGTTTTTTCAATGCGTTCTGTGCATATTCTTCACAGGCAAACAGGACAAACGCATCCCCTGTGGGCCTGTTGTCAGGATACGTCACAAAAAGGATTCCTTCTTTTCCTCCTGTCACAGGGCAGTGTTGACCAAAAAATGCTAAGACTTCTTCTGTTGTTACATTGAATGGTAGACCCCGCATACGGACAATCACTTGGTTCTCTTTAGACAGGAACTGAGCCACTTCATTGGATGTTCCTTGAAGAAGAACCAGAAATATTAGAAGTTTAGATAGCTATTCCTGTTTCAGAGTAATTAAGGAGTAAGGGTGCTTCTAGAACAAGGGCTGCTGGCACTGCCAATCAAGGAACATTCAGCAGGTTTTCATCCTTAACAATGACGGTATAGGTGGAAAACCAAATTTTACCATTTTGGAGGGAAAACTTGAGCACCATTGATTTGCCCCCACCAGTAGACATATTTTTTCCAGGTTTTCTGCAGCCCTTCACATTGCTATCCTTAATGGGACTACACACACACACACACACACACACACACAGAGGGAGGGGAGAGAGGGAGGGAGGGGAGGGGAAAAAAGATTGTAGGAACACACAGTAGGAGTACAAATGGAAGACTATGTTGTCTTGACACCTTATAAAAATATCATAAATTGCACAAGAAAAGCCTTGTGTGGAAGCACCTTAAGATAGCAACCTTCCCTGGGACCTCATTTCTCTCATTTAAGAGCCACTGAGAATTGTTGCTTCCTAACTTCTATGTACAAGCAAGAAATAAGGCAGTCCAAGTCCTTTAGTTGCTTAAGTACTCTGCTGTTACTTGAGGTAACTTGTTAGCTTTATTCAGTGCTCAGAGTCTACCCCGACCTTCCTCCACCCAGTGCTGTCAGTTGTGTTGTTCTGCTACTCCCTTCTTTATTGGCCATGCTTGCTGGGAAATATGGCCATTGTAGTTCAACACGTCTGGAAGGTACCCAATTGTGAAAGGCAGGCCTACACTCAGCAGTGCTTTGAGATGCGAGACTTCCAAATACAAAAAGCATATATTGCCATAAGTATGCAGAGTACAAGATAGACAGATGCCAGTGCAAGGGAGTTTGCAGTCCCATTTTATATTTGCAGAATTTACCATAAGAATTATCCTAGGCAACAATGGAACTTAAGGCATGTAGTCAACTCTTAATGAATTCTGGGAAAGCTACCCAGTTTTCCTCAGTGGAAAAAATCTGATTTCTTTTCAAAGTGTTAACATTTCCACTGAGCTATGGTGCCCTCTCAGTTTCCTTCAACTAAGAATACAGCTAATGCTTTGCAAATCAAGAATGCTATATTAAATCTCTACTGTCTCTAGCTGAAAGGAGGCTGGTAGGTGCTGAGAATGGCAACAGGCAACCCAGATCATTGGTCCATTCAGTTCATTGCCGCCTACACTGGGTGGCAGCAATTCTCCAGAGTTATAGCACAAAGCACCTTGTATAATACACCAGCTTCCCCCACACTGGTGCCCTCTAGATATCAAGGACTAAGTTCCATCATCTCACCCAGCACAGTCGATAGACATGCTGGCTGGAGGATGCTGAAAGTTGTAGACCAAAATGATTGGAAAGCAGCAGGTTGGGGAAAATGCATGCACGCGCGCACACACACAGAGGTGTTTTTCCACACAGTTGTAGCTTACACACAATGGAACTCCATTTGTATCATTCATGTTTCAGGCTGGGAGGCCCATATGCTTGGTTCAGTTGACTGCCACATTGGTAAACATCACAGACAAGAACGACTGTTCTCTAACTTTCATCCTAAGCGAAAGTCACTGTCTCTCTTATGCTGGGCAGTATAGCTCAAACATCCAGTTCTTGAAATAACATTGTTATATTACACACTCTTAAATAATTATTGTTGCCCCAAGGATCAACACCCAGTTGTTTGAAGTACAACTCTTTGAAACCCTGAAAAAGGGGTGGATAGGCACAGTGAGAGTGTACCTAAACGGACCAAAGGTTTGACTCACTGTATATTCTTTAATCACCAGTCTCAACTTAAAAAAATAATATTGCCATTAAAATTGTAATGTTTTACAGTTTTAAACTGAGTTACAAGAGGAGAATGATTACCTCCAGCAATCTTCAGGAAGTCCTCACCTGTTGCTTTGTACACCTGGAAAGGAGGAAGAAACAAGGTAATTATCCATGGGGACGAACCTTCTACCTTTGCCTTCAAATTTGGATTTTGAAACTTGAGCAACATACCTCAATGTACCGGTTGCCCATGTGATGCTTGTGTCTTTGCAATGCCAGATCTCGGTGCTCTTCATTTACAAACCTGACAAGAGCTTCTCCATTCCTCCTGCCTTGGGCATTGAGACAAAGCGCTGCCCCTCCTCTAAAGGGTAGGTCAACAGACAGAGGCAGCAATGAAGACGTATAAGCTCATGCTCTTTCACACAAAACCTGCACTTACGCGAATTACAGCAAACACCACTGGGCACTCCTGGAGGTATCAACACACCCGTTTTCAAATATAGGAACACTTGTTACTCCCAAGCGGACTTCACTTCAGTTGTGAAATATCCACACTATTTTTCACTGATTAAATGCTGCTGCCCTAATAAGCAACACATTTATATAATCTTTCTAGATGGCAGAATTCACATTCACACACGCTAATTATGGGAGCATGATGATCTCAGCTGTATCCAAAAAGAAGGATGGAAGGTGTGACATTCTACTCCTGAACCTGAAGAGCAGTTTTCACTAGAGTGCTTGTAACTTCTGATAGTTCTTCCAGCAGCTTACTAAGTCATTGCCATAAGACAATTTGTGGAGAGTCATGTCTTATTTCTGTACATTGGTTTTGTGCAGGAATTGCATTGCTCATTTCTTTTGCAGGAGTATGCAACAAGTTCTATGCTCTCTCCAAGAAAAGCAATTTCTTAATGAAATTGTGTTCTCTATTACAGTTTCACCAAAATTCCTAGTCAGCTCACACATATAACTTTACTGGACTTTGGCAAATGCCAAAATAGCATGGATTCTCCTCCAATAAAATGTAGAATTTTAATCCTTGGCTATGGGTGGTATAGAATTGATGGTGATGTTGATAATAATATATATTTTTAACCATTTCACTTTTATTGGAGATTTCTCTCAAGGTTTACAGTGATAGAAACAAACTGATTTTTTGCTCAGCATTTTGTACTTGTGATCACTCTCCATTTTCAGTGAAGACAGAAATTGAGTTAAAGTCCAGATAGAAATAATCCAAAGATTTTATACTTGAATTTCAGCTGCATTATACTTGTATTTCATGTAGTTATTTCTAATCCTGTCACTGTTTTCTCTAGCATTCCACTTGAGAACTAATTCTTCAAGGGAGCTTATAAATTAAATATAACATATTAAGGGTCAACAAATGCACCCTTTAGTTTGCCATTAGCAAATGTCTCTTTATTTTGGTAAAAAGATGGATTTAAACAAGTTGCCACCCTTCTCCTGTGTTTGAAGATGTATGAGGATTCCCTTGATGCCATATAATCTTTAAAAGCTTGGAAGAGGGGCAGGAGCTTTCCCTGTTTCACTAAGCCTCAGAGACACTCAGAAAGCTGTGAGACTTCATGCTGAACTCCAGGTGCCTGAAGTTTAGTGCAGTATGGGGACATATTTCCATCCCTCTTCTCAGATGAAAGCTGGGGAGGCCAACGGGAGTTTTCCCACTTTCCTGTGTTGTACTTCAAAGGTCAGCATGATATGAGAAGGCCATGCCCCCTCCAAGATAAGACTAGCCTTGGGGAGAAAATGTTTCAGGAGACTGCCAAGGACAGACAATATTATTATTATTATTATTATTATTATTATTATTATTATTATTATTATTATTGACAATATGTTGACCCTGGAAATAGTTTGGGAACAAGGGTAAAGGTAACAAGCATGCCATACACAGAGAGAACTAACTTGGCAATATTTAGGCCTTTGAAGAATCTAGCAATGTCCTGGTCCGAAGACTGCCATGGTAGACCTCTTGCACGGATTATGGTGTTATCATCGACAAGTTCCATCTTGCTGCTGTGGGTACAAGGACATAGATTTATCATTCCCATGGTTACAAATTATGTCCAGAGCTAAGCTGTCTTTTCATAGGCAAAAATCCACATTTATTTTTTTTTTTTTTTTTTGCAAAACACTCTAAATAAGTAAGAAGGGAGGGCTCAAAAACTCTACCAGTTTTTCCAATTTAAAAGTATGGGTTTCTCCTCCAACATGTTGCAATCATCACCACTGCAGGACTCTCGGCATTTTAGCCATTCCACTTCTGCATCTAATGTGTTCAACATTTTACCTTCACTACTTCTTTATGCCTTTTCTTTTAGAGGAAGCTGATGTTTCTCCCATGTTCACCCAAATGGTTGGTTGATTTCTTTCATTGTCTCTATTTTCCATAGATTCATTATTTTTTTCTCTTCTTTGCCCTTCATACTTAAGACACACCCCTTAGAACATGAATGTAAGTTATCCCATGCTTTCCGTGTACAGAAGTGTAGATTTCATGATCACTGGGCATCAGATGCTCTGGATAGGACACCTGCAGCTGCCATTCCTCATTATCCTTATGTTTCTTTCCTGCCTGTTATCCTTGTTAGACTATTAGCTGCCAGGGGACAAGGTCATATAATTTTGCCTATGTAATTCTGTTAAGGTGCTGCATATCTTGAAAGTGCTGAATAGCCAGAATGTCACCTGTATGGATAAGGAATGACCATGCATAATGCAATGCAGGGGTGTTTAACCTCTTCCAGCCTGAGGGCCAAATTCAGTTTTGGGGAAGCGATCAGAGGCCATTTATTTATGCATTTAATTATATTCCCACCTCCTCACCAAAAATGATACTCAAGGCAGCTGTCCCACTGGATGGGGTCAAAAGGGAAAAGGGAGTGGGCTGGAAGGGCAGCCTAAAACCAGCAACATTTTAGCTTGAAGCTCCTGCTGTCAGTTACTAAAATGAAGAGACACATTTCAGCCTTATAGAATGTGAGGCAGGAATGCACAGAAGTCAGAAAACTACTCAACAGTCAGGGACGGGAAAGGGAGTTGGGTCAGGAGAAGGGTCTGGGATCATCTGGGAAAAACTCTAGAAGGCTGCAGTAGAATGCCAGGTGGATCAGATTTGAGGTTTATTATTCCTAGTGTGGTGAGAACACTGGAGAAGGTCCTAGAAGGCCCTGCTTCTGATCCCTGCTATGCCACTAAGCAAGTCACCATCTCTCACCCTAACCTATTTCAACAGGTCTTTGTGAAGATAAAATAGGAAGCGTCCAATATATGCTGCATCAAGCGAGGTAGATTGTAAAGGCAATAATGAAATGTGTGGATCACAGGAAGAGTCACCTGGCTCAGCTTTTTGCTTCTTAATCATGCCGACCCAGATACCACAGGGTGGTTCACTAATGAGACTATTTATCACCAGCATCTGTCAGTCTGAGGCATTCTTTCTTCACGTTTGTCTCCACCAATAATAATATTTCTTTCTTTTAAAAAAGCCATGCAGGGCAGCAGAATATCCCATAACGATGGATTCCATGCAATCGTAATTCAAGGTGTCTTCACTTTGTAAGGTGGTTTTTGTAGGACGCTTTGTCAAATCAGTTAAAAACATTTTGGATTCCAAAAAGGGATCGGTTGAAATAATCAAGAACTGTCATATAGCAGAGGGCAATTTGTAACATTCAGAAGATGCAGGAAGAGAGAATGTAATAAAATTTCCGAACTGACAGTCAACCCCTATAGTTTGACTTTAACCGGGGTTGGAGATCAACCGTTCTTCCCAGCAACCCCATAAAAAACTTTGTTTACACACAATGACAAATGAAACATTCTCTCTGCCATCATAAAAGGATACAGAGTAAAGTTAACAAGGAAGAGCTTCCTTCTTGGTTAGGAGGAGAGGTTGGATTGTACAGCAATAAAACTATAGAATATGTCCTAGGACCTGTTCTTAATGGCAAGAAAAGGGTAAACGTCTCTTTATGAAATCCAAGGACAGCTATTTGTTTGGCAGAAACACCCACAACAATTTTTTTAACCAATATATATCCATCCTTATTCCTCCATCTGAAAAACTGGAATGTTGTTTGTTGACCAGTAATACGTTTCTTAATATTCTACATTATCAGGATTCATACAAAAAACTATTTTTGGGCAAGAACTGGATGCAGACATAATAGCCTAGACTGGTGGGCCCTCTCAATAGGCTTACTGGGTGGTGACAGCACTGCTCTGGTTGCTTCTGAGTGGTCCTCATTTCCCATAATGCCCTTGAGTAGAGCTTTGGTGAGGGCACTATGAAATTGAAATGGCTGCCATACATTGAATTCCGGGAGAGAAAATGCAAAGAGGGGAGGCACTGATGACTTGTGGGGACAATGACCCTGTCAAAAACATACAGAGGTGAGAAGGAACAGGAACACAGGGGGCTGTATTCAAATTTAGCCCCACATAGCCTAGGCCTGTTGAAATGAATAAGACTCAATTTAGTCATGATGAATTTAAGTCCCATTCATTTCAAGAAGTCATCTGTATATAGGACTAACATTGGGTATAACCCAGTATATCCTTGGTTCAGCTCAGTGCCAATGCCTGCACAGCCCTAGACCAACTTTAGCTCTATTGCTTGAGCTGACTCCCTGGTCCCACCATCCATCACGTACGTACGTGTGTGTGTGTGTGTGTGTGTGTGTGTGTGTGTGTGTGTGTACAGCTCTCTGTAGCTATAGGAACCTCAGCTCCAGGCACCATGCTCCATAGGCTACTGTGCTGTATCACACCATCCTAATGAAACACAGCAGCTAGGACTAGGCAGGTCTCATCAGAGCATATTAGAAGGCATACACAGTTGTAGATTATAAGAGCAGGTCAGAATGAATCTTGAAATAAATCTTTTTCCACTTTTAAAAGGTAGATACTTACCAGGTTCCGCTTTCAAATTTGTAGTTCACACGTTCTGGATCTGAAAACCTGTGATCTATAAGACATTGCATAAAATACATTCCATTTTTAGCAACACTGTCTTGTGAGCAAGGTAAAATACATGACACAGAAAAGAGAAAACAAACATTTCTTTTCTCACAGGAAGGATCACTCCTTCACACCCCCCACATTAAAGATGGAGCCTTTCCAGCAGATCTAAGTAATACACATTGGCCCGCCCTGTACTCGTACCTGTTTCTGAAAAATGCAGTGATAGTCCTATGAAGATGCAATTCTATGCATATTGAGAAACACATAAGCCTTACTGGTCCCAGCATTCCCCAGCCAGTATACTGAATGCTGGGAGATGTCTTGTTGGACAGAAAGGAGTGCTATGAACATGCCCTGAAGCTTTAGCTCAGTGGCAGAATAAATCTTTTGCATGCAAAATGTCCCAAGCTCAGTCTCTGGAAGTGCCAAGTTGGGCTTGGCAGAACCCCTGCCTGAAACCCAGGACAGCCACTGCCAGTTAACAAGGACCAACTTTCCTCAGTGCCCTCCAGATGATTTGGACCACCACTCCCAGAATTCTGGGCCATTGGTTATGCTGGGAGAGACTGGACCCATGGACTGACAAGGTGACTTTCCTATGTTTTATATTTGATTTTTAAATATGCATCCCCACCTTTTGGTCCTCCAGTTAAAAAAATTATTTAACATTACAACTGAATTGGTCCAGCAGTTCTCACTACTTGGATAGCTAGTGCGAGGGAGAAGGAAACTTGGACACATCTGCATACTGAAGTTTTAAGGAAAGAAATCCCCACAAATCACTCCAAGAAACAAAATCAGGACAAAGGTTTACCAGGAACAGGACGCAGAAAATGAAGTCTGAATTAAGTATTCCCTCCCCAAAAGGTATCCCACTTGCTTACTGTATGGTTCCGAAATTAGTGTTAAAATGGTGTTGCCCATGTCTTCCACCTGAGACACTCCAAATTGCTGCATTGAGCTGTTCTTCTGAAGATTCAGATCTGAGGACTCATGTTAAAGATCTTAAAGCAGTATTTTAAACAGATTACACTCAGGAACAACAGTGACTAATTCAGCCTTGCTGCATTTGCATACAACAACAAGCCACAATGGCTAAACCAGTTAAAAATTAACAAGAAAGCAAAAGCTTCACACAGAGTAGGAAACTAATTTCAAATCCTGGCTTCAGACACTGGTTTAATAAGGTTCAGGTTGGAATCCAGATTCAGATGTACGCAGAAATTTCTGTTTCCCGGCTAGTTGTTGGGAACTTTCACAGGCTCTCTAACTGGCTAGCCCTTCTCTTCCTACACTGCATCAGGGACTCATGGGCTGGACTGGGCTCTCTCTCTCATGTCTCCTTCCTGCACTTGTAAACCCTCTTGGCTCCCAAGGCTTGCCTGAACGCCTGGAGATGGCAGTCTTGAGATAAGCTACACTTCCTCCAACAACTCTGCTATTCTCATTTTCCAGCCCTCACCACCCTCACCTGACGAGTTGGTGCCACCCTGGAAAGAGTGTCAAGAATGACTGCCTCTTTCATTCCCAACGCTAGTCTATGAGTGGAGCACGTTCAAGGGAGGAGCCAAAGGCATGCATGATCAGGCACTGTGCACAACACCCTGCCTATGAAGATAGCTCTGCTGACAAAAGAGTCGATGTTAGACTTGTATACCACTGAACTAGCAAATGCCTTTTTACATAATTCCCCAAATTGTAAGGGTTTCCCTTTATAGCAAAGTTTAGCAAGCTGAACTAAGATATGCTTGGAAATGTTGAAACTTGGAGGCACTTAGTAGATCTGGACATCGTATTTTCCTTCTTACAAACTACTGTCTTATCTCAAAGCCAATTCTAAATGTTCAAGAAAAGCAAGCAGGGCTGTATCACATGAGAAATTGGATATCTGAATATCCAATATCCAATCCAATCGGATATCTGTTGGTTGGATCTGATGGACTTCTGGCCCCTTCCAACTCTCTTCTATGAGCTATGATTCCCATGACACAAAGTTTCTGCATATGGCCAAGTAACATCTTAAAGTGTCCATTCTACCTAGTCTTGCTGCCCATGTGCAAGGTTATATCATGAAGGAACACTGCTTGAGTTAAAATGCAACTAGAGCATTCATCCTTCAGACACTTTTAGGACAACCTTCCTGTTCCTTTGTATGATTTCAGAATGCTATCAAATAAGCCAGAAGTCTACTTCTACAGCCTGCATTCTAAATGGTATGGTCCTATACCATGTACTTTTTAAAACCATCTGAATGGAGTCTCAAAGTGTTCTACATAAACACGAGCATTACATATTAACCCAAATGAGTCACACAGGTATTCTGGCTCCACGTATTGATAGTATAATGGTTTTTGCATGCCCTGTTGTTAAAATAGGAGAATGTGTCCTCTGAAGGCACAGGATTTATGAACAGCCATGCAAGCTTCATTCACGCCACCCTTTGGGCATTTGCAACGATGAACTGGCCAAGCAAGATCTGCAAGTAGAAAACTGCAGTGAATTAGGTAGGACAGGAAATACAGAGAGCATCAGACAGACAGGCATTTATGGATATGTTGAAACACACGGGCTTCTACATCCCTAGTTCATTTGTCAGTGAGCAGCATGCCAAAGTCAAAACGATCTCTAGCCGAAAAGTGAGCAGATAAAAAACAAGTCAAAACTTAACTTTTATAACTATATGTAGTTCACTTTTATAACGATAAAATACTATAAACAGCATATGATGCTTTGGTGTAACTGATTAGGTAGCAACATTTCCAAGCATGGTGCAAGAGTTATAATAGATAAAGTGAACATGAGTAAAAAATATATGATGCTGTAGCACAAAGGGCCAATGTCATCTTAATTATAACACAAATATTTGCTTCACCACTTAGTGTTAGTTAAACCTCCTTTGAAATCCTCTACCATATGTATGTATTAGAGCTAAAGACATATGAAAGGATGCAACGAACATGGCTGCAAGATGATAAAGCTGCAGCTTCAGAAGCAACAAGGTGTTTTCAGTAGACTGACAGTTGAAATTTGGTGGATATGAAGTGAATGCAAAGTCTAAAACTAAGGCATGTTCTTGCCTGAAATACAAATCTCAGAGGCAGCAGACAGTAAGCAAACTACACCATGGAGGGGCAGCTTACCTTTTTAGTGGTAGGTATGTGCAACTCCAATCTTTCTTTTCTCAGGTAAGGTATTAGTTGCTGCATTCAAGAATGGAGGAATAATAGGGGGAGCTTACTTAACCTTCTGGTATTTTTCCAGCTCAAATTGTTCTCTCCCCAGCTAATTCCCTTTTACAGTATGAACACAGCAGAGTCAATCCAAGAAGATCCCCTTGCCAACTAAAGTCTGTTGAAAGTGGAGATGATCATTTCTAAATACCTGAATCAGTGAAACCTGAAGATATATCCATGTAGGAAATCTAAGGTACTATATAGTCCAACTTGCATTAGTGCAGAGGTGGACAAACTTGTGATCCTCCAGACATTGGTCTGCAATTCTCATCAACACTAGCCAACAAAGACAATGGTGAGGGGAAGATGAGGGTTGCAGTCCAACAAGATTTGGGGGCAGGGGCAAATTGTCTACCACTGTACTAGCAGCATCTCCAAAACCAGAGGAAAATCTGTATGGACAATCATGGATTCCTGTTTTATGGCCTCCAACTAAGTGATCTTTCTCAAATCTCAAATATTTATGACTAACACAACACTGAATTTTTATACTTTCTAGTTGGCTTGGGTGTGGGGACAACCTATTTTGCACAATAACCACCATCCTTCCCCTGGAAGTCATAAATCTCCTAGGAAGCGCAATCAAAAGCTCGTTGCTCAAAAGTTAGCCCTGCTTTGTTCAATGTAATTTTGCGTTGAAGAATGTAGGGCTGCAGCCTTCACCTTGGAGTAAATGATTTCAGGTCAACATCCTTGCATGTAAACAAAGCATTTAAATGAACGTCTCTCAGCGTATGAGGTTCTGAAATTTAAACTGCATATGCAGGTTGCCCAGCACAGTTTTCACATGACATTTCTGGGAGGTATGGAGGCTGTATTTGATTGCATAACCAATAAGTTTTAATTGTTATAGCAACCGGTTAGTATGCATAGTTTCCAACCTCATTCCACCGCTTATGATTGCTTGTACAGAGGGAACCTCCCCAACTCTCCCTACTGCTCATGTCTGATGTCTTCACCTGCTGGGACATGCACACTGGAAAGGGGGAGCAACAGATTTCATTAGCTTACCTCACAGAGCAGAGGCTTTGCATCTTGCCCCCAGCGTAAGTGCTAGAGATCTAGGAAAAATGGGTCAGCAGAAAAGATCTCACCAGCCCAGCAAGCCCCCTCTCTGTACTGCTGCCGTGTTGGGGTTGGGCACGATAATGGGTGGGAAAGGAAGGGGGTGATCACCAGGCGCCCAGGGAAAGTAAGCAGCAGACACTGGCGCAACAATTGAACTATCCAGTAGGCTTGTGGGGGGAGGGGCGCATCCTGAGTGAGTGAGCGAGACAATTACCAGCATATGGCCACCCATTCATCTGGAAGACATAATTCTGGAATTGTGTCTTAATGCTTTTACTGGTATGCTTAATGCATTTTAATGTGCAATCCAATGCTAGCTTAGACTGCAAAAAGTCTTATAACTCCCAGTGTTCTTCCGCCAGCCATGCAGGACTCCTTTTTCTGTCTAAATAGGCATAAGATTGTGTCCTAATGTATTTCAGTGTACTTTATGAGAACTGCTTAGGGTTCTTTCTAAAACAGGGTAAATGCTGTATAACTTTTTGAAACAAACAGTAAAAATAACAATCAGTAAATAATATACTGGCTATGCACATTCTCCTGTGCAGCCCTAGCCAGGGGCTGAACCTGGGGCCCTTGGCCTGGCTGAGTCCACCGGAGAATCCGCCTGGGAATCCTAGCCACTGCTACTCACTCAGTGGTGCCACACCACCACCTGCTTGAGGGTGGCGGAGAACAGCCTATTTTACAAGGAAGCATTTACCACTCCTCAGTCCTACTCAGTCATATCAGGTAAGTGAGACAACATGAGCTCGGTCCATCTGCTAAAAGCATCTTGTCTGTGTCCTCAGACTACAGGAGCTGAAACTGATCCTACAGAAGTGGATATAATAGTGCATTGGACATTTTATGAAGACCTGCTACAACAGGAGTGTTAAGATTATAAAGATGAGTCATGTTTTTCCCCAAAAAACTTTGCAAAAGTGTCAAACAGGATCACATCGGTGAGCCTAGCTGTTAATAATTCCTGTATCATCCATCTAGATAGCTGCTCATGGACACAGCGGCACCAATGAAGCCAGTCTTCTTCATGACCCGCACTGCCAGGTCGTAAGGACAATGATATGTCCTAACACACATGCTGTCGGCATTATTGAGTCTTATGCCACCTACATTCTAGCCATTGTGCATCTTGCTTTATCTCTCAGATGATCAGAGAGAGCGGTCAGAAGCAACCAGGTCAGTATTCCACCTTAGAGGACAGGAATAAATCAAGAGAAAGAGTGCAGGAAAGTCATGGTATGGGCTACAAATGAAATAATCTGATTTGCACCTAAGGACTACATATGCATTGTTTAAACCATGGGTAGCTGGGCCATGTGGGAACCAGCATGCTGCCTTCTAACTGCTTGCATTTTCTCCTTTGGAAAACAACCCAAGAATGCCTAATTCCTGGGCTGTGCTCTGTGGCATTCTGTGTGGCACTCTGAGTTGCTGAGGAAGATACAGCCCAGAGTTTTAACCAACCACAAGCCATGGACTACAACTCTGGGTTGTTTCTTTCTCAACAACCCAAACTGTCAGGTTCGGTCATTGTGAAACACAATCCAGGGTTGCTTCCTCTGTCAGAAAAACGCTGACAGAGGAAGCAGTTAGGAGACAGCATGGCTCCTGTGCAGTCCTGACTACCCATGGTTTAAACAACCCACAGGTTGTTGTGTGAACGAGGTCACTAAAAACAAAGGGCCCTAAAGTCAAACAAATGGAAGTGAGGATGCCAAAAGCCCATTGCTGGGGTGACACTTGGTCTAGGGATGGTCCTGCCTTCCAGTTATTGGTAACATGAGAGTGTTGCCTATACATTCTTTGCAGTCAGCAAGTAGTGCAATGCCGGTGCTGATTCACACAGGCACCATCTTACTTCTATGTTGCTTAGGAAACCCATAAACTATAGCTACGTTTTGCCAGCACTAGGACCCACCAGCACCGCAGGGCTTTAGGACAGCTCTCCTCAGCACAGGTTTACACTGAGGAACCTCCCTAAACTAACCCAAACTGTTCAGTATTGAGTACAACAGAGAAAGGCTCAGAAAACAAATAGCCTGGGCATGGAGAATATGCATAACAAAAAGAAAAAATTATGAGCAGATGGCATCCTTTTACATATCTAAGAAAGGCAGTGTCATGAGAAATGAAAAGCCTGTGAAAACTAGCCAGCTGTCCTTAGAGAGGAGAAGGCTTGGGAAAAAACCTGGGAGGACAACAAATGCTCCTCCAATTTCCCAAAAATCTGCAACAGGGGATGGACATGGGAAAACATTTTTCTTATTTAAAAAACTGGCTCCCCTATTTTCTCTCTCTCCCACAACCACCAGTTCTCTAGCTGTCCTGCAGGAGTGTTATAGAATGCAAACGTAGCACATAAAGCTTTGCATTAGTCAAAGTGAATGGAAGATGCTCCCTTTTCTCCACTCCTGAGAAAAAGAAAACTCACACACAAGCCGTGTGAATAAAGGACACTTCCTTCATCTTTATCTTGCCCCCCCTCCCCACCCTCTGCAACCAGCACCATGTCTCCTTATATTGGCCCGACTCACATTTTAGGTTACAGAGGGATGAAGGAATGCCAGCATGAAATATGTCAGACTGATGTGCCAAGCATCTACTTGATGTGATGCCCTGAACAGCTTTTGCAAATGATCAACATTTTCAACTAAGTTATACTGTTCCCATTAACTGGAGGAGGCAGTCACACTTGTTACTTAAGATGCAACTCATCCTTAATACTCGCTTGACTGTATGTGTGCGCCTGTGTGTTTAAGAAAGGATACATTCTGACATGACTTCAACATCCAATTTGTCGATGTCTGGTGAGCCAGGACAACACTTCTTGAATTCTTTTCGCAGATCAAAAAAAGAGTAGAAACATTCGGGCAACAAGATATTCTGTAAGCAACGAATTAACTCTAGTAAGTGAAGACAACAGCTGCCTACATTTGGTAGGCTGAACAGTCAGGTTGAACGCATTCTCATAGAGTTTTATGTGCCACTTCCAAGTCACCTAATGCATCTGAATTTCTCCTTTGCCCGTTCTCACAACACAAACAAGCTGCTATGTGCAGCAGGCACAGCTCAGCAGAGGTCTCACTAAGTTTGAGTGCTGTGTTTTTATCTACTTGCTTCACAATCACTCACTGAAGACAGAGATGATTCTAGTGCTTCCAAAGGATGCTTTCATTGTACCATTACCCTGCCTTGTTTATGGAATTTTATGGGAGGTCTGATGCCCTCTTCAGTCTGTAGTTCTCCCATGTTTTCTTTATATTCTTACCACAGAAAATTCACTAAGGGGCGGGGGGAGGGGTGATAGAACAGCTGCCATTACCAGCACTGGAAGCCTTCCATCTGAAGTACCCCAACATGATGTGCTTTGCTGCAAAGCTCAAGGACCTGGTGGCATCTCTCAGTTACTTCAAATGTTGCTCTCTGCCTCTAGCCTCCAATCTCTCTCTTTCTCTCTCTTGCAATAGCTGCTTGTTCTCAACAGGGCCTTTCCAGTTTTGCCTTGCTGTTTGCATTAGTAGTTCTCCAGCTATTACGATCTGGGCTATGAGAGGAAGTCCCAGGAGTGAGGAGACAGGAGACCTGTTGCTGACCGGCTCAGGAGAGGAGAGGGGAAATGCAGAAGCAACCAGCCAAGAAAGATTTAAACAGAAACAGAATGAGTCAGAAGAGGTCTCCCAGACCAAGTCTGACCCAGGTCCTGCCTGCTTCACTCATGACATGCCTACCATGTGCATGTCCAGTGAAGAACACAGTCCTGACACAACCAAAGCAAACTTTACAGACCCCATTTTAAAAACAGAAACACCAAATATATAACATTGGTCACAGGTCTGTCTTTCTGTACTGCAACCTTTATTGTTCTTCAGGCTTTCTACTGAGAACAAAGAATGCTTTGGGCAGCATTACTCACACACCTCTACTCATTTCCTTGCACCCATAGACTTTCTGATAGCTCCACTGATCTATCCCATTCTGGAAATGAGCATTTCAGTTCATTTCCAGTTTTAGGAACTGCTAGCTTCCAGCACTAGTGGTATACCCCACTGGTACACAGGCAAGATGGAACATTGTCCATTACCTCCTTTTCCAATATAAATATTTACTATGAATGAATGAATGAATGAATGAATATATATATATATATATATATATATATAGAGAGAGAGAGAGAGAGAGAGAGAGAGAGAGAGAGAGAGAGAGAGAGAGAGAGAGAAGGAAACCTCCAACTTAAAAATTCCCTCATTTATGCAGTATTCTATACTGCAAGGCCCAAGGCTGCTGGTGGTTCTGTCAGCTCAAAGGTGGCCCTCCCTCACACACACACACACACACACACGCACACGCACACGCACACGCACACGCACACGCACACGCACACGCACACGCACACGCACACACACACACACAGAGAGAGAGAGAGAGAGAGAGAGAGAGAGAGAGAGAGAGAGAGAAGCTGCTTATGCTCGTCATGGGCTCTCTAGCTTTGCTTTGCTGTTTGCTCTAGCAATGTGTTGTGATCTGGACTACCAGAGGCAATTGTGTGTGTGGCGAGTCGGGAGACCAGCTGCTGTTTATCTGTGGGAAGGCTGGGAGAGTGCAGGGAGTGGGGAGAGGAGAACAGAAGAGCATTCAGTCAGTAAGCCAGCAGGTGTGGGGAGGAGCCCAAGATCAACAGAATTAGCCAGCTTGGACAATAAGGAAGAAGAGGCGAAGAGAAGCCCACAAGGGCTCCAGCTGAACCTGGTATGCAGCACTGTCACCTGAGCAGGAGAAGGGGAGAGGGCCTCCCACAGTCTGGGAAAGGTGCTCCAACGCCCTCAGGAGCAGCGCCTGCAGCCAAAGTAGCTCTTGCTGGAAAACTAGCGATGATCTCAGATACAAAAAAGGCACAGCCTTTTGGCTTTGCCACCTCGCTCCGTGGTTACATTCTACAAACTGGATGTTCACTTAACTGCAATTCAGTCAAAATCTGAGCATTTCTTGACTTACCCTAAACGGAGAGGCGGAGGTGCTACAGGCACGTGCGAGCACGCACGCACGCACGCACGCACGCACCGGGTGCTGCCAGACTGGAGCGGCCTGCCTTACTCATGTGCAGCGAGAACGACCCACAAGCTAATTGCAGCTCATCCCAAATGAATTTCAATAAAACCCCTTTTATCCTGTTGCTATGTATAGGCTTAACGAACAATTGCCTCAAGGTTTCATGTCTTATATTTTACTTCAAAATGCCGTGCTTCCAACTCCTCAAATCAACTCCAGAAGCTTTTTGAGGGGGAACAAAAACCACAGTGCTGCTTCATAGCTTTGAAGAGCGCTATTTTTACTTGCTGCAATGGCCATGGTTTACAACACCAGGAATGCTACAATAAAGTCAGCAACCTCCCGCAACCTGGTGTGTGGAGGGCGCTACTTCCAGCAAGCCCTACGGTCCATGGCAATGCTGGTTAGGTATGACAGAGGTTCACCTGTGGAGGGCAGCAAACTACCGAAGGCTCCTCTAGTCTTCCTCCCTCTCGTTATGAGGGGGACGCATGTGGTGCAGTCTCTATTAGGATGCACGAAGGGGTGAAAAGCAGATCTCCAGATGTTTTGGCTTCAGCTTCCGCTCTTTCTGACCATGGCCTGTGAAAACTGCCTGAGAAATGAAGTTCAAAACATCTGAAATTCAAAACTGTATTTTGCTCATCCCTGCTCTGTAGGGCAATACCTCAGGCCAGTGCGACAGTCGCCTGCTTGAGGGTGAAAAATAAATGAGGGGCCTTTCGTGGCAGACCGAGTTCTGCTCTGCTATACTTTGGCGGGCATCCACTTCTAGCCATTTTAAAGGCTTGCAGTATATACATTTTGGGAAGACTGATTCACTCCAGGTTGGTTGACATGGTAAAATGGATAACATTGCAATATAGTATATATTTAATCTTGCCCAGAGAATGAAATGCTGAAATAAAAATATCAGCTTACTCATCTGGTGACAAGCTGACCATAGCTGAACATAAGGTATGTTTCCAGGAATTTGTGAGGAAGATCAATTTATTCATAGCTTATCTGTTTTGAGTCAGCCTAAGCAGAAAAACTATAGCTTAATGTTTCTTATTATGAGTAACATGATTTGAGAATATATAGAATGCAGAGGTAGGTGCTTGAAGGACGCTCATTGAATGAGAACATGGGAATTTAGGATTAAAAAAAAATCCTTGGAATGTATGCTTAAAATAGGATACAGTCTACTTTGAGGATGTGAAAAGATCTTTAGTTCCAATTTCAATACACAAGTATTGGGTGACAAGCATGGAAGTGGCTGTTTTTAAAGGGATTATGACAATCTAACCACATTTTACCTTAACTGCTCTGCAAGAAATGAGATATATACCCACTTAAAATATTCCCTTTATACAAACACAGAGTTGGCATTTTTTTACTGTTTTCAAACTATTTTCTAAAGCCACAAATACTCAAGTACAATCAAGTATCAAAATGTGTACTTGTGTTAGTTTTACATTTGCTGCAATGGACACACTTGGAAAGCAAATACTGCTTGCTACCTGAATTTCAAGATCTACAGCAGCACTATTTGACAGGCATGGAGCACAGATTTCATCTCTTGGAAAAGAGGAATAATAAAACACACACACACACACCCCAAAATGCACCAGCAGCAGTCAAAGCAAAATTGCTTTGTATATGACTGCACATAACAAATGCATGAGCAATATAATGCCCCACCTTTCTCCTTTCCATCATCTTTTCAGTTACAGGGATGCTGGAGGTTGCAGACTAACATCAGTAGGACAGAAAGTTGGGGAAGGCTAATGAACGTATTTCTTATTCAGCAATAGTACAATGCAAGCATCACTTTGGGAAGCACTCCAAATTCAAACAGCAACCACAGCAATTCTTCTTCACATGTAAATAAACTGCAGATCTTATCACAATGATTTCAGAGAAGTTTAAAAAACAAACAAACTCATTTAGAAGATGCAAAGTAAAAGCACAAATAGGCAACAGAATAAAACCCGCAGCAGATTAAGGCATAGATAATAGCTGTAAGAATACAAGTTACTTTAAAGAAGCTTCTGATTCCAGGCAGAGCAATCTTATGTTTCCCTAGACAACAGCTAGAGGGAAACACAGGATTTCCAGATCCAAGGCTGGAAAGGAGCTCTGACCTCAAATCTACAAGCCAGATCCCCCTCCCACTGTTTACAGCCAGGGCAGAAAGAAAAGCATTGGCTGGTAATGCAAGGTTGGAAAACAAACCTTGAAGGAGGAATGTTGGGGGCAGGGAAGGAACCAGTGCCACAAAGATATGATGTATTTTGGTGGCACCTCAACTGCCTTCCCTTCTGTGCCAAAGCTCCAGAGTTGGATGGGTGAAATTGGCCATCCAGCTGCTGTGCAGAGTGGAAACAGCATGCAGATGACCTTTACCTCCATTCTTCTTCTGCCCTGCATAGGATGCTCATAATCCCCTGAGTTCACAGGGCTATGGGCATCCTCATTGGACTAATTTTGTCCCTCATGCCTAGAAGACAAGAGGTTTAGTGCCAGGCTTGCCTCTCAGGAGAGGAATTTCCTTAGTTGGAGTCCTGCCACCAAAAATGACCTACTTCCTTTGACTTCAGCCTCAACTCTGATGAAATTGCCATTTTGGAAAAGGACACCAGGTAAGCACCTTAACACACAAGCAGATTGATATGGGATGGTCAATTTCTGCCCCTCCAGATGTTTTGGCTTTCAATTCATATGAACCCTCACTAGCTGGCCCTGATAGGAGCTGTAGGCCCAAACATCTGGAAAGGTACCAAGTTGCTTATCCCTTCAGTAAGCCATCTTCCAAATAATTGGAGTTGACAGCTAAATATCACCATCTTCAACTGGCTTCAGAAGCAAAGTGGCAGCCTCTAAAGGGTTTTTTTTTTAAGACTGGCAAGATATGATGGCAGCCCATGGAGCCAGCCAGAACTATGGCTGCTACATTCTGCACAGACTCAAGCTTCCTAACATTTTCAAAGGCAGGCCTAAACATAATGCATTGTAGTGATCCAAATGAGATGTTGCCAGAACATGGACTTCTATGGCCCAGCTTCATTTTGTAGACTTTTCAGTTTCAGACTATCTCCAAACTGTATACTAAGTTTGAGCTGTATACTAAGATATATAGCCCAGCACTACACATGTTTTACTCTGCTATAAATCCCATTTAATTAAATAGGTTCTACTCTTAGTCCACAAAGGATTGCATCCTTAGGGTTTTATCCAAGGTTAGTCCTCCAAAGAATTGACTGATTGAAATAGACTTAATAGATTTGAAACTTAAATGAGACTATCATTGGAAATCACCTATAGGGTACAATTTGTAGAATTTAAATGCCATTGCTGACCATGGATCAGGGAATAACTTGGAAGTGTGTTTTTGAGATCCATTTCATTTTGAAGACATGCTGAAAAATACTAGCACTGTTGTGCTTGACACTAAAACCACATGTCAAGCATTTCTGTCATTTACTACAAATTATAGGCATGAGCAACCATCAGTATTGAATGCAAATACATCAAGATCAAGCCTATTCATAGTCCTGTCACTTTTTAAAACTACAAAAATGTTGTAAACAAGATGTACTCCTTTTAAACATCCCAAACAGCAGTAATTTCAGACAGCTAGACTTCCATGGACTTAGTCAAGAGGAAATGTGACTACAAACACTTATTTTTTCCCCCTGCAAACACACAGAATAATCCCCAAATAGCCAGAACTGTGAGGGCAGAATCATAGGCACTTACCTTTTTGGAAGCTTCAGGATGCAGAACCTGCCTGATATGAAGCTGTCCATCAGTGCAGAGACAGAATGAAGTACCTACGCCAATATTTAGTTCATTGCTCACAGACTGGTTGAACTAAAAATTGCAAGACACACACACACAAAGAAAGAGATCTGTTTACAACATGAAAATACATTTTGAGAAATTCAGAGAAATATTTTTTCTTTATAAATTTCAGTAGGATGCACTACTTCCCTAAACTGGAAATAATGTTCATGACATTTTATCATGTCTCTCAATCACAAAGCGGCATGCAAATCAATACATTCCAAGCAAATTAATAATAATCCAAAAGCAGCCAATCATTGATACAGCAAAAGGTGTGGTGAATATTTGTAGTCTGGCAAATCAAGCTCTTCTTTACAAAATAGAGATGAATTGCACTATTGCTACATTTGCTTTTTTCTTTAAAAATGTGTCACATTTCTGCCCTGTCCTTCAAGGAGTTTAACATGACACTCAAACCTTGCCTCCTTTTATCCTTACAACCATTCTGTAAGGCAGAATAAGGCAAAAATGAGTGACTAGCCCAAAGACACACAACGAATTTCAACCTGGATCACCCCAGTCCATTCTGACACCCCTAACACACAATTCTGTGCAAATTTTGACAGGAAAAAAGGCCTACAAATCTCAGCACGCCCCAGCTAGGGGCATGCTAGGACTTGTAGGCTGTTTTCTGTCTAAATTTATGTCAGATTGTACCCTTATAACAAACTCCTCACACTGGGTCCATTTTTTCACTATGCTGGTGAGCTGGTAATTTGCAGGGATAGCATTACTAACCTACATTACAGGGCTTTAAAAAAGATTATTGCAACATTAAAATCCACTATTTCTATTGGAAGAAGTAGGATTCTTTTCATAGGTTCTCAACTAGGGATGTACAGATTTTGTTAAATAGATTTAAACCATGATTTGCAGATTGTCAAATATCATTTGTCCTGCCTTACACTCGCCTATAGAGTAAGATTTGGGGGGAAATGTAGGAAATTTTCCTTCACTCATGTAAATTGTGCATTTGCACTGATGAGAATTTGCACAACTGCCCCATAAAAGGGTGTTAAAAACAGCCTGTAAGTCTGTAGAAGCTGTAAAACTTGCAAAGGGCTGGTCTGTTGTGGAAACCATGGGCTGGATTAATAGAAGTCAAAAGTCATTTGACTCCAGTGCAGGATTCTCCAGTGCAGGAGGGCCTATTCTCAGCCCTCTCAAGCTGTATGTTATCAATCCTCAGTAAGCCTTTACTCTTTTCAGACTTCTAAGAGTGGCACAGTTTAGTTGAAGAAAAATCCACAGCTTTGGAAGGAACAATCCTATGGTCTCTACACACTGTCTGTGGTGGTGGGCAGTGTTCATAAGATAGTTTGGTTTCCCAGCACAGAGTTGGGAGATACAGCTCTGACCTTGGAGCTGGGAATCCATGCTAGAATTCTGGTTCTAGCTCCCACAAAAAGAACCATGACTGTCCTGTGAGGTCAGGAAAGTGATCTCAAAGAGAAGAATATTTTGGAGGATGGAGAGGGAAGAAACTGAGGCAGTCAGCGTATGCCTGAAACATGGCAGCCTTCTTCCTTGCCCCTCTGAGATGCTGTTGATAAACAGCTGGAAACAGCAGCTAGGGAAAAGGCACAGCTGGGGGAGCAAGGAGGCAAAGATCATCTCTTTTCTGCATTGGATGAAACTCTGCATTTTGAGGTTCATGCTCATCTTGATTGGACTGCACCTGTATTTCTTTACCATGCACAGTTCTTTTGTAACCCATAATTTCCACCATGGTTCTTTATGGGATCAAATTCTTTAAAAAATTCCTGCACCCATACAGGAAAATGTGCCTGTTGCTGGGTGCAGTGGTTATCTGTTTGTTCACATGTCAATTGGCTTGTGTTACATTACTTCTTATACCTTCCAAACAGACAAAAGGTTACAGAGATGGCTCCCTCAGGTTTGTACTATGTTAGAAATAGATAAATTATTAGTCCCTTTTACAAAGCATTGCAGAAACACCAGTTCCAGAACATTGATCATGTAAGTAGTGAGTTGTAGTATGTGGAAGTAACAGGCAGCTTTAAAAAGGCAACCAAAATTGTTTAGGGGCTGCAGTAATTACACAAGTCTTCAAATCTGCAAATTCAACTTGCAAACAAAAATGGGAGGAGTGGAAGAATAAAGGTAAATGAGAAATGCACATTTAAATCAAGTAACGGGAAGCCTTGAACTGGGGAATTAAGATCTCTAGCTTGAACACAGCCTACCTTTCCACTAAGATGGCCATTCCTAGGGTGGATTACCTGTTGGACCCAGGTCCCATCAGATAAGCCAGCATAAACACTAGTCAAGAAAGATGGGGGTTGCAGTTCAACATAATCTGGAGGGTCATATGTTTCCCATTTCCTCTGAGGGCAAAATATTCCTGGTTTCAAGAGGATTTGCAGCCCTTTTATGTCTGTTGGTAATTATAATTTTAGTATCAGCAACCACTAGCAAGTTGGGTTTCATTGCAGACAACACCCTGGACAGTCAGATTTTAACCTAGTGACTTGGCTCATGGAAAAAGCAGTCTGGACATAGGCACTCCTCTTCCCTAGGCACTCCTGGGTGCTGCTGTTGGAAGAAGTCCACTCTTCCTGCTTCAGCTGAGTGACTCAGCTCTCCTTCCCCTCCCACTAGCTAACCCAACCCATTCCTGAAGTGAACCGGAGTGTCTTTTCTCTCCTTGCTTCTTTTCTTACACACCCTGATTACACATCTCTTTTCTCAACACACCCTGATTCGTACAACAGAAGCAGGCAACCTAGCGCCTTCCATTTGCTTCGGACTACAATCTTCATTCACCCAACCAAACATGACTTCAAGTGATAAAGGATAATGGGAGTTATAGTCCACAATATCTGGAGGACACCAGGTTATGTACCACTGGTTGTGCTTCACCTAACAACAGAGGGCACCAGACAAGTTCAGTTTGGAGAGATGACCCTTTTTGGAATAAGCAGGGGCAGGGAACACTTTTACCTGTCTCAGAGCTTGTTCCAACTGTGGGGCAAGCCTCAAGCTATCCTCCGTGATATGGGTTACTTCTTTGCACTCATCTGTCAGCTCCAAGTGATCAGGTCCAATCAACAGTTCATGAAGATTTCCCACCTCCAGGGAATTAAAGTGGGTGGGGAGTGAGAGTAAAAGAAGGGATTAGTTTTCTTCCATCTCCCCTGAAGATTTGCCCTGATGACACAGGGCCACCAGAGCCCCCAGCCCCCCACCTCACATGCAGAATTTGAGTCAGAACAGCAAGATGTTTGGCACACATGGGCCTAGAAAATGGGCCCTGTTTTTCCAAATGCTTGCTCAGGCAGCAACCCTAGGTGTGCTTAGCTCTTCAAGTAAGCAAATCCCCATTCACCATGGTGGGGCTTCCCTCAGAGTAGCCACACATAGGATTTCTCTGTCAGGGACACTTGCCCTGGCCAACTCCAAGGATTTGTGCATCCCAAAAATCAAACCTCTTTTCCCCCCCTCTTAGCTACTTGGAGAGTTTTCATGACCCAAGCAAGATCCATGTCACTCTAGCTGAGCAGTCTTTAAAACCCTGCACGGATGCACTGAAAAGACTCGAGACTGTTGTCTAACTTTCACCTCCATTTTCCTGTTGTAATTTAAACCCATCTGTTGCAAGGCTGGACTTGGAAGCCAGTTCCTCTGAAGCCAAGAAGGCTGATTCTTGACTAAGTGCCCACCGGGTTGCCCTTGATTCTAAGCCACCATAGAGTTGGTCAGCAAGGGAAAGGGGAAAAATTGAACCAACCCACCCACCGCCCCAAATTGTGTGTGCTCTTGCCTCACAAAATGAACACAGAGCAACCCCCCAAGTACCTTTCTATTGGCCAGCTCGACCACGCTCCATAACAGCTGGATCAGTTCTCGCTCATCAGAGCCCAGCCGGGCCCCCTGAGCTCCGGCGGTGGTCACAAACAGGACGACCAGGTAGTCGGGAGACGCCGTCATGCTGACAAAGATGAGTGGTGGAGAAACGACCTCAGCAAACTTGGCCAAGAAACCAACAGCAGTCAGTCAGCCAGCCCGCCAGCCGGCCAGCCCCGAGCCCTCTTCAGTGCGGGAAGAAGAAAAAAGACCCCTTGCCTGTTCCACACCTACAGCCACCAAAGCTCTCGCTTACTGCCCTGGACCTGTTTTTAGGAGAAAGGCGCATGCCCCGTCTGGCCCTTTGCTATGGGGTGGGGGGAGAGCAGAAGAGAAGAAAGCTTAATTGCATGGGAGCCAATTCCAGCGCACAGGTAGGGCTACACCCCTACGAGGCACGCAATGGCTGCGGGCTGGGCTGTTTGGGGATGTGGCTGTACCTGCCCACTCCTCCCTTCCCCCCACGTGGTGCAGGTAAGAGGCACACCTGAGGGAGTCCGCCCATTGGCTCCTTCCCACAAGGACGTGGCAACAAGCTGGTTGGTCAGAGGGGCTGCTCCAACCAGGAATGGGAACTACACCACAGTTGGGCGAGGACACCTGACCGACATGCGGGAGCAAAAGAAAAGGAGTTGGAAGAACTCTCAGAGCGGCCGAGCGTTCTCTTTCCCCTCCAGAACAGACACTTTAGGGCTTGCACCGTCATCGATCCTGAACATGATGATTTTATGTATATTACTGCTTTTATGTCTTTAAAGCACTTCACATTTTTATGCATTCATGTATTTCTATATCGCCCACCGGCCAAAGCTCTCTCAACCAGTTGTAAGTCTTACAACAACCCTGACAGGTAAGTAATTACTCCTCTTGCCCGTACTGGAAGAAGTAAGGCAGAGAGAAAGCCGGGCTGAGAGTTCGTGCGTGTCACAGCCAGGATTGGGACCGAGGGCGACTTTCCTCCTCGGCCACGAGGCGCCGCTCGCGAGCTCTTTCCAGCCTGGGCAGGGTAATCACGTCTCTTGGCAGGAGTCTTACGCTTGCTTACTTGTAAATCGCAGTGAAAATCGCTTCCAGGGAAATGCGCACAGGGCTGTGTTCTTTTGGGTGAGAAGGATAATTGGGGCGGGGCGGACACCAGAAATTGGAGCGTTAAAAGACGGCACAAGGCGATCAGGCAATACTAGTCTGCGTGGGAGGCCGCAGGACAGCTACTTAAATTCTAACTTCAGCGGCAGATGATGGAAAGCAGAGGAAAAGCAATCTGTACGTTGTCGACTATTCCGCTCTATGTGCCAAGGAGGCGAAAAAGCGCGCGGCGTTTTAAAGGCTGATGACAAGCCAGGTCCTGCTTTGTGGGCTTCGAAAACCCCACGGGTTTCCCTGCAGGTTGTCGCATGCTCTGAAGTGCAGCCTGATGTATTGGCGCTCAACCCGCGCAACTGCACAGTCCTCGTCGGATTAAATGCTGCGCATCAAAATTCGCCCTAAGCATGTTAACTCAGAAGTAAGTCCCTCGTAAGTGTGCGTGTGTTTCAGCTCCATCGAACGTACCTAGACCTGACGGAGGAGGGTTTTAGTCCTCTGCATACTGCCTGGCTTCATGGGAGCAGGGCCTCTCATAGCATGGTGGCCGGTGGGTGCAGCCCCCTTTATTCAGCTCTGGAGAGGGCTGAGCCGTATTCTGGAGGGTGAGGTGCCTGACTGAGTTGGGGCCTCACTCTAGTAACGGAGCAGCAGAGCCTGCCTGCTAGCCTCCCCAGCCTGGTGTTGGGCTACAGCTCCCATTGTTCCTGAGACAGGCTGGTTAGGGTGTGCTGGGAACTGTAGTTCAGCACATCTGGAGGGCATCAGGTTGGGGAAGGCTACTATGTTCGGTCACTCAAAACTTACACTTCGTTGAGTGCAAGCTTTACCCAAAGTTAATCTCATGCATGTCAGTGGGTCTGTTCCAAGACTCACCGTGGATCCAACCCCACAGTATACAGGTTATTGAAATGGGGTTGCTCTGCCTATCAGTCTCACCAGCCCGAATGCTTGCACCTCTCCTGCTTCACCTTGGAAGGTAAAAGACCCCCTTAGAATGAATTGAGTAATTGGACCTTGTAGCTTAATGTGGTCAACACAGATAGGTAGCAGCTCCCCAGGGTTTAAGGAAAAGATTCGCTTATGTCTGCAGAAGCCAGGGATAGAACCTGAGACCTAATGCAAAGTGGTGGCTCTCCCACGGAGCTGCAGCCCCTGCTTAAGTTGCGTGAGCACCTCACCCTTCTGAATGTGACCAGTCACCTCCTCCCTCACACCATAAATATTTGAACTTGCATCCCCAGTAGCCGCCTACAACCTGGTGCCCTCCAGAAGTGTTGGACCACAACCCCCAGTACTCCTGATCTGGGCTGGTTAAGGATTGCTGAGAATTGCAGTCCAACACATTTTGAAGGCACTGGGCTGAAGGAAAGCTGATGTATAAGACCAGGTTATAATACTCCCATACGTCCGTTTTGGGAAGAAGGCACCATTGGACTCTGAACTCTGCAGGGCTGGCTTCTAAGTCACTGTGCGTAAGCTTGGGTTGCAGACAGCCCTATGCTGCTTTGCGTACCTGCCTATATGCCTCACTAGGTAATGCTTTAGAATGAAATGTGAACAGGGTCATGTGGCACAGTTGAATCCTAGGCCCTAGGGGACGGGCAGAAGGAAGATATCCAGATGTTTCTCTCTTCAGCTCCCAGCCTTCATGACCACTGGCCATGCTTGCAGGGGCTTCTGGGAGGCAAAGTCTAAAACCTCTTCAGACTTGCCTTCTGTCTGCCCATGTTTTACAGCCCAGTTGTCTACATCTTTATTTGAAAATAAAGAATTGGAAACTGGTGAAGGCAGGGAGAAGATAGTGAAGCAGGAAGGTCCCCTCCTACCATGCTGGGAAGGGAGCCCAGGAGCTGCATGCAAACATGGATGAGGGAGGGGAAGGTGCATCTCTGGATATAAGTTTGCAAGTACATGTTCCTTATTTCAAAGAACTGCTCTTGATTAATGCAGTGCTCCTTTTCATGTGGTTTCTTTTCTTTTCATATGGTTCCTTTTCATGAGTTTCCATGGAGGTAATTGAGTGGGTTTAGTTGTGGTAAATACAGTCTTGTGGCATCTTAAAACAAGCTTGGGGAACATGTACGTCCTTCAGATGTTATTAGATTCCAACTCCCATCAAGGCCCCAGCAAGTCAAATCTTTGGGCATGATGGGAGTTGGTAGTCCAATCACAGTTGAATCTTACTTCAGCAGTGGAGCGGCATCCTCCAATGAGCAAAGCAGGCTAGCTGAAGCGATGCAGGGCAGCTTGCATGCCTCCAGTGTCTCACCGTTGGCTTCCTTTGAACACAGCCGCCTGAGACAGCCACCTCACCTTGCCTGATGGTCGAACCAGCCCTCTTTGCGGGGCCACGCATTTCCCAGCCCTGCCTTATAGCACAATCCTATGCATGTCTACCCAGATGCAAGAGCTACTGAGTTCATTAGGCCTTACTCCCAGCTAACTCTGACTAGGATTGTCATGATGTCACTTCTGACATATGGACTGGCTTTTTCTTGCACTCTCACAACATAGTCACCGTTGAATGTGTTTTAATATTTGTAATTTGATTATTTGTTGTAAGTGGCCTAAAGATTCCTGTTGGAATAGTTTGGTGGCATATACATTTAAAAATAAATATGTTGATGCTTTTTGCTGGCACCCCTGCTTGTATAAAAACTTGCAGAGGGGAGAGGAAAGAAGCGCTGGCCAACCCTCCAGCACATCAGATTTAAGGTTGGTTAATTCATTTATTTCTCTCAGTTCTCTTTCTGTCCTCCATTTCGCTCTGTGGAAATGTTTGGTCTTACTTTAGGTTTGGCACAAAGTCTGATCCTGATTAAGGGTTTATACATTCTAGATCTTGCTCCCTCTGTGCTTGCTCTAGAGTAAAAATGAAAAGATTGCATAGCTCCTAGATGCACATTTAGGATACAATCCTATGACTGTTAGATAGAAATATTCCGACAGCTCCCAATATCTGCTGTCTTGGTGGTACTGAAAGCTGTGGGACCCTTTTTTTTCTGTCGGGGGATTCTGGTAATTGCAAAATGTTTTCCTGGCTGGAGAGGCTAGGAGTTGTAGGACCTTCTTCATGCTGGGAGCTGTAGGACTTTCTAAACATAAACAGGCTTGCACCCTTAAAGTAATGCTCATTGTGGCTGGCAGAATGAAGCAACTGTTGCTGGAAAGTTGGGCTCACAGCAAGCGGCTGCCTGACTGAAGCCTCGTCGGCCAAACCAGCACTGCGGCACCGAAGGACCAGCCAATCTGGTTTTCGAGGCGGGTGTAGTAGGCGCGCTCCAAGTTGATTTGCTCGATGCCTCCACCAATCCCCTTTTAAATGCAAAGGCTTTCGCCCCACGGACAACAGAGGAAAGGCCGCCGTTCATAAAAACAGACGAAATCTGGAGTACACGTGATATGTGATATCCGCAGCCTTAGTACCAAGCAACTCACCACGCAGTCCATACTCAGCAAACCCAGATGTATATGTTCCTAACGGTCGAATCTCTCACTACCAGAACCCCTGCTCCCGTATCCTCTGCGCTAAAGGATACACGCTCGTCTTCCAAAGAATGGGTCCCTTCTAAGGGATTGTTTCCCTCTTCTTCAGATGCCCTCCTTCCCAAGGCCCCTTTCTCTGTGACCCTCGAGATGCCATTACCCAGGAGTTGGTCCCTGGGGGTCCCGTCACCCCGCCTCTCTTCCTCTCGGTGCTTCTCTAATTTAACTCAGTGGGAATAATGTACAGCGATTGAGCTGCGACCATATGCACACTTACTTCAGCAGTGGAGCCATTTGAATTCAAGAGAGAGTAGGGATAGAGCCTGTGCGCCTGAATTTAACACAATTCATCGCCCAAGTTCAGGTAAAGGAAAGGTCGACATCGTGTGAAATTGTTGCAGCCACATTTTCCTGCTTGCATTAAATAAGCTAGAAAGGGGCTTGCCAGATTCTGTGCAGTCAGGTGCGCCGAGAGTCGATGGGTTCAGTTGTGCCTAACTTTGCATAAAATCGGGTAGTAATAATACACCTTTTTCAGGACCACGCTGGTTAAACCTGGTAACGCCGCTGAGTGTAGAGGTGACAGAACAAAGTAGCCAGTTCTGGCTCTCTGACGAGCACATACTGATGCTACACATGGTTGTAAACAAAAGCTCCTCGTGCTCACAATAAGGTAAACACGACGAGGCGAGCGTGACTGTGTGACGAAACGCTCTCGTAAGCGGCAGCAGTAACTGACTTCGAGGGCTCCTACTACTTGAGAAAGCTGGCGCTTCTTTCAGCTGGATCCTACGCTTTTTATTCAGAAACACACCTCACTGTTCCGATAGGGCTTACGAGCAAGTAAGTGTTCCTAGGAGTCCAAGAGAAAAAAATGCTTGGAAGTCTCCTTATCTAATGGGGCTTGCTCCCCAGTCAAGTGCGCTAGCATCGCTCGCTCATCCCACGTAGGCTTAGTCGAAAATAAACTGCACGTTAAAATGAACCTTAGTACCAAGTACAGGGGCATGATCCCAAGTAGGTTAACTCAGAAGCAACCCACATTAGTAAATGAACCAAGGAAGGATGCATAATATTAAACGGCTAAACCCGTTTCCGCGGGCATTTACTATCTTCCTTCACTTTGCTCCCGCCCCAGAATCCAGCCACGTCGTGGATTTGTAAGCCAAACTGCACAGAAATAGATAAAACTGAAGGACCCTCCGGTTTTGCAAGCGCAGGGAAGCTGCGGAACATGCACGCGCGCGAGTCTTCCTTGACTCCGGAAGTGTTTGTACTGTCAGGCCAAGTGCTTCCGCCGACGCAAGATGGCGGCGGACACTACAACGGAGCTTCTGTTTTTAGACACTTTCAAGCACCAGAGCACGGAGGTAACGAAGCCGACGGATTCCCTTTCTTTGTTTTGGCCGGGCGCTTCGGAACGATGGGATGTGGGCTCTCAGTTAATCTGCTCCCCGGTTCAGGGTTAATTTCTTGCACAAGACACCGGATCTCAGGGCGGGGCCAGAAGCTCTTTGGAGTCTCACAAAGGAAACTGTGGTTACCAAAGGGCGATGGTAGTTTTGAGTTGCTCCACCATTTTATTTTATTTTTCGTAGTAAAGAGGGTTTGTGTGTTGCATGATTCACTTCGCACCCAAGTACCGATGCAGAAACAGTACATCAAATTCCATGGTACCTCGATGAAGTTTCTAGGCGTCCAGTAACCTGGTGCCTGGATTTTTTTCCCTTGTCAAGCCGTCTAAAATACTTTCCTTAATTAATCTGTAATATCTAGTACTCGGTGGTAGTTTGTAATTACCAATGTGGTAATAACTCTTCCCCTATACTGCGGTTATGCATAAATAGAATAAAATAAGCACGATCTTTATTGGTTCTGATAAACAACTAAAGAGAAGCTTTCCTTTACATCCCTTTTGTATAGCATAAAGGTGAGAGAAATGATGATGGGGTGCTGACAGAGAGAAAAGGTCAGAAACCATTGTGCATAAAACCATTAGATTTGGATACTGTTTACTTTTTGAATAATTGGAGATTATTTGGGTGGTGCTATTGTTGCATAATGTTGATTTTGGCTCTACTGTACAACTAGTGGGAGAACAATC